AAGATGTTGAGGTGATAAAATTGTGGCACATTTTCTGACATTCATTGGGAGAGAAGCGTACAGCTTATTAAAAACGTTGGCACATCCAGAAAAACCTATCTCACTCCCTTATGCAACTCTTAAAGAGCTATTATTAAGTCATGTTAAGTGCATCAGTTTTGATTGCCGTGAAAGGGCGAAGTTTCATAAGATGGTTCGTCAAAATGACCAAAAGGCTCGGGAATTCATCCTTGAATTGCAGAAACAAGTTGCCAAGTGTAATTTTGGTGATCAACTTCATGTGCAACTGAGAGATCGATTAATTGCAGGAATTAACATACCGGGTTTGGAAAGAGGACTGTTAAGAATGCCAAACTGTTCCTTTCAAGATGCTAAAACTGCGTATATTAACTACGAGGCAGTAAATAAACTTGATATCCAGTCGATGAACATTTATAATACTCATGATGAACTACAATCTCAGGGTCAATCAAACTTGCGTTCGTTTAACAGTGATTCCTATTCTTGTGTAAATATGAAAGGTGTTTCAACAAGGAATTACAAAGCAAATCACAAAGGTGAGATGAAGTTCGGTAAATGTTTATCATGTGGAAAGTTTCATTCTCGTAATTCATGTTCATTTCATAGTGCTAAATGTCTTAAACGTGGTAAGATAGGACACATTCAGTCAGTATGCAAAGCTACTGTCCATTTTGCTTCAAGCTGTACTAAATCTTGTAATTTAAATCTCAATAATTCGGATGTTTCTAGTGATTATTTATCTTTGTCTACTATTTCGAAAGGTAATCTCATATTCAGAAGCGACTACATACATTGCTTGGTTCATTTCATGACTTTATTGTGGACACAGGCAGTATAGAGTCCATTATTTCATTCAAGAACTTGAAATCCTTAGATCCTAACGTTGTGGTACGACCCACTGAAGTATCAATACTGGGGATTACTAGACACATACTGCCCATACGAGGATGTTGTGAATTGCTAATAAGAGATGATAATTCTTCATACATACCTTGTGAATTTTTAGTTAGCGAAACAGGACTGTCAATATTGGGTTTAAAGAATTTGAAAGGGCTTAAAGTGGAGTTGTCCTTCCTAGTTTCTAAAGAAAATTCTGATACTTTTCTTAAAGATTCGATAGCTATGTGTGCTAAGTGCAGTGGAGGTATGAAAATTAAGCCTATAAAACTTCAAGTACAGGGTGATCCAGTCGTTCTTAAAAGACGAATAATTCCTTATGGTCTTCGAGAAGCAGTACACAAAACATTAAACGATTTGTGTGTGAAAGGCATAATTGAACCAATTCAGTCTTCAGGATGGGGTACTCCTAACTTTACGCCACTGAAGTCGAACGGCAAGAACCCTAGAATTTGTGGTGACTATAGATTAACTCTGAATTCCCGTTTGTTGAAGCAAACGTGCACGACGGTAGAGGCTGAAGATATTCTAAATCGACTTCATGGTTCTAAAGTGTTCTCGAAAGTTGACCTAAAAGATGCTTATCTTCAAATTCCTTTAGATGAATCTTCATCTATTTTGACGACAATTAACACTCCCTTTGGTCTGTTGAAATACAACTTCCTTCCATTTGGTCTAAGTTGTTCTCCAGCCATATTTCAGGAAGTTATGAATAAAGTAGTTAGTGATCTTGAAGGTGTTGAAGTTTATCAAGATGATCTCATTGTTCATGGTTCTAATAAGGTAGTTCATGACCAGAGACTTATTGCTTTACTGCATTGTTTAGTTGAGAAGAATATTACAGTGAATCCAAATAAGTGTTTATTTTGTGTATCTAGTTTTGAATGTCTTGGATACCCAGTTGATGGTAATGGTTTTAGACCAGATATGAAACGACTAGCTCCACTGACTAATGCACCGTCTCCGAAAAATCTTACAGAATTACGTTCACTAGTGGGTGCTCTTCAATACTATTCCCGTTTTATTCCTAATTTTTTCTTGTCGTGCAAATTGTTTATTTAATATTTTAACATCAAATTCATTCAAATGGAGTGAGGAACAAGAGTCATGCTTGCGAAGTCTGCTGAAGTTTCTTCAAAGTGATGCTGTTCTTCGAACGTACTCCCCTAATGTACATTCTGTGCTTATTACTGATGCATCACCTGTGGGAATTGGTGCAGTTTTGGAACAGGAAGGTAGACCAGTTATTTGTGTTTCAGGCAAACTTACTGTTACTGAACAAGGATATTCACAGAATCAGAGGGAAGCATTAGCTGTGTTTTGGGCTGTTAAAAGACTTCACAAATATTTATTCGGAAAGGAATTCACTATTGTTACTGATCATGAAGCTTTAAAGTTTATTTATCATGCCGATAAATCCTTAGCACGTTCCTCAGCAGCTATGGTTCAGCGATGGAGTATTGCTTTGAGTGCATATGACTATACGGTTCAGCACAGAAATGCCAAACAGATTCAATGTGTTGATTACATTTCTCGACAGTCATTACAAGATAAGCCTATTAATACTTCGGATTGTTTGTTAGTGCAACCTTTATCAGTGAGACGTTCAGATCTCATGAGAGAAACGCGTAGATATTTGGGATGTATACTCAGTGCTATAAGGAAAGGTTGGAATGCTAATTTGAAACGTAGATTTCCTATCTATTTTTTTCGAAGCGGGATGAGCTATCTACTACTCCTGATGGTATTCTGTGTTTAAATGATCGTGTTGTCATTCCGCCTTCATTGCGTAAATCTGTTCTTGAAGATCTTCATAGCGGTTATTTAGGTGTTGAGAAAATGAAGTCCTTGGCAAGGCTCACATGTTGGTGGCCACAGATAAATGCAGATATATGTCGTACGGGAAACAATTGTGAGAAGTGTCGTCAGTTGAACAATCATCCTTCGAAGTGAGTGCCATGGCCAGTATCATCTGAGGCCTGGCAGAGGATTCATGCTGACTATTGTGGACCATTTCTTGGTAAATACTACGCGCTAGTAGTCATTAATTCTTTTTCAAAGTGGCCTGAAGTTTTTTTTACAACTTCACCAAATTCTGATTTCACAATCCAAGCATTAAGGAAGGTGTTTAGTCGAGAAGGGGTTCCTATGGTGTTAGTGACTGATAATGACTCACATTTTGCTGCAGATGCAGTCACTACCTGGTTGAACGGTATAGGGTGCAAACATCTATTTACTGCTTCCAGACATCCGTGTTCTAATGGTCAGGCAGAGAATTTTGTTAGGACATTAAAGACTGCTATTGATTCTATAGCCGCCTCAACATTTAATGAGCTGGAGAGGGGAGTAGATACCTTTCTATTGCAATATAGATATGCCAAACATTCGGTGACGAAGGAGACTCCAGCGAAACTATTGAAAGGAAGAATTCTTCGGTCGAATATGAGATGTTTGGAGTCTGCAGAAGTTACATACTATCGAGGGAATGATCTTCGACCATCTACGGATATTGTTCTGAAGAATGTCGGAAAATCGATGGTGCGAATTCTAGACATCGATGACTTAAGTACACACAGTCGACATGTTGATCAAATACAATTTCAGGAACCAGGTGAGTCAGTTCCAATTTCGGTTGTTAATTTTAATGCTAATGAGCATATTCTAGGTAATACAGAATCCTTGTCCAATACAATGTCAGACAGACTCAGGATGAATTTGAGAAGATGAACGATTGATTACAAATACCTAGACTCCAATTTAAGCTGTGACGGATGTGGTGCTTGAATGAACTAATGATACCTTTTTACTTGTGGAATGCTCGATTTCGAATTCTAAATACAGTAAATTCGTTGTGCCTGAGTCTTCTTAATTCAATTGCGTTAATCCTGAAATTCCTAGTTCATACGATAATTCGAATATTATAGTGCATTCACACTTCAGATAAATTTACGTATTCTGATTAGCCGGTCTAAAGAGTGACTGATGTCTATCAACATGACAAAGTGCATCTACATGCACTTTGGGGATACGAATGTAAATAGGTACAACATAGAGGAAGTGCCTGTACCCGTGGTTTTGTCTCACAAGAATCTTGGGGTGATGGTGAGTCATGATCTTATGATCATGGCCCACTACTGGGGGTTTGCAGCTTAAGTGTTTGCAAACGTATGAGCTTTAAAATGAACATTCACCAACTTAGATACTACTGTGTTCAATGCAGTATACACAACCTTAGTGAGGAGTAAGCTTGAAGACTGAGTTCAGGCCGCAAGCTCCTGTTTAAAAGGTGACTCGAATATCCTGGGAAAAGTACAGAGGGGCAGCTAGGCATGCTATTCCTGAACTCTGTGGTTTAGTATACAAAGAGCGGCTTGAGAAACTAGACCCCTGTACTCCGTTCTATCTCAGATTATTAGGTGGGCTGATTTTGGTGTGTAGAGTACTAAGAAATGATTTTGAACCTGATATATCCGCTCTTTTTCTTCCCACTAGAGCGGGACATTTCAGAGGACATAGCAGACGAGTAGGAAAGCCAAGAACGAATAAGATACCCGTGGAATACAGGCTTCACAACGAGTCGTCAATTCTTGGAACTTGTTTCATGAAGCGGTGATGTGCGCACCTTCAATTGGGCCATTTAATAGAGTACTATGCACCCACAGAAGCATACTAGAAATGAAATAGTATAGGCTGTAGACCTTCTGTTCTTACTACACAAATCTGAATCTAAATCTAAATAGTAATTTCATATGCCTATTCTCATAACTGCCTAGTGATACGATGGATCGTATTACCCATTTATTAGGCTTCGTCGTAATAAAATGATGAGTAGCAAATGGAGTGAAATGAATGTATGTTATCTCATTCAATTCTATGTTGTTGCTCTTTCCGTTTACTTCCCAAATCGGTTAGCTTCATTGTCTTGGAAAGTGTATTGTTAGCATTATTCACAACTTTTATGATCGATTTGAGTTTGAAAGTAAATTAGATATCTAAAAAGCTTTCATGAACACGTATGTTGAAACTAGATGGAATTGAACTTCAGGCAACTGTATATTGGACGCTTCTGGTGCTTATGGTTTGTATTAGTGCGCAACGTTGGGATTATCACATGAGTCTGTTCTCGCGGCTATTTCGCACTTGGTACTCTTCGAACCTCATGGTTTCCTAGCATAAAATCAATAAAAGTCGTCTGAATCAACTTTTGGATGCTTATGCCAGGCGAAAAAAAGGTGGAAAACTGGGTCCAGGGTGGTAAACGTCAAAAAATTGACGAACTTGACGATATTTTGGTGGTAGGTGTACATATCCTTCAATGTTCTTACGTCAAGGATATTACGGGTTATTCTTTCTCCCACTTGAGGACCACTTTTGTGTACACTGGGTTCGTTCTAACATGCGGACTGTTGAGACTAGTTTTTCACTGGTTTCCTCACTGGATGCTGATGTGTATGTATAATAAGTGTGCTTTGATGGAGGCTGAGAAGATTCTCGTTCAGGTAAATATCTTCAGTCCTTAAGGATGCATGATCCTGGGACTTAAGATATGAGCCGTGGTTAAATTTCTCTTGTAGGATATCTATGGTGTTTACTACATACATGATGTGATCGTTGACGTTATTGAAGGAGTGAAGTAAGAAAAACTTGTGTGTTCTGACTCATTCTAACAGTTATACCAGGAGGTCTTACGTCCGTAAGCCTGTGTCATTCATGAAGTCACGAATGATGGGCCTTGAGAACGTTAGTAAAAATTTATAATAATCCTTTTTTTAGGATGGTAGGATGATGTGTTATTTCATTCACAAATGTTTAAAGTACGTATGGAATGGCGAGACTCACCGTTTCGAGCTCATTAGGTAAAGTTAATTCTAACGTTATCTCACGTTCATTTCGTATAACTTATGTATGGCTTACCGATTTGTATTATCTATTCACTCCAATGACCAGACGTTTAGTTGTTAAAGCGCTTTTCCCTCGAATAGTTCGTCGGTCTACGCCCTGTTTTATTTGGCACGAATAACAGTGAGGTGGTGAAACCTCATTCTTTGGGCTAGGTGGTTTACTTACCAGTCTTTTTTGTCTTGCTAGACATCAAACAAGGTTTCAAAAGTAATCGAGCCGTTCGAATCTTCAAATAAGTGAACAGTTGTCGGCATTTGTTTTGTCATGGTTTTCATATCTTTTGTAATTGTTTCTTTTAACACGAGTCATGATTTTACTGTTGACTACAATTTTCTCGGTTAATTGATATATTTCAATTTCGACATTTATTAGTTGCCTGATGACATGATATGTCAAAATTCCCTAATCTTCATTTCTCTTCTGTTCAGGATTTCGAATTTCATCTATGGGATCTGAATCTTTAATTGCCTGAGTACGTTTATTTAAGCTAAAATGTTTAGTAACTTGAAAGCCAGTTAGTGTTAATAAATGGGAAGACTGCTTTGTCAGGCATAATTCTCTTTTCGTCTACATTTTAATTTTTAGGTAATATATGGCGTTTCTTGTTATTTCACGTTTTGACTTACACTAATTCAATCGGTTATTTTAGGGTATTTTTAAAATTCTGTGGTTAGTCATTCTTCCGAATGAATTGGCAGACTTATGGTGTTTATTATTACTTATGTGATTGGTCAAACAAACAATCCACGGCTTAGTTTTATTATGCAGGTTCCTAATATGTATTTTGGAAGTTAGATAGGGTTAATTCGGTGATTTAATCGTTGAATTGTACTTAGGAATGCAACTGGATTTTTTAGAACGTTTTTACGTCAAAAAGACATTAACTTTGAATTGTGCTAATACAAGCAAGACGATGTATATAACCGACTGATTACAGGTCTTATGTCATGCCCTTTTTATATTATCTCAGCGCTCTAGCCCATTCATGACTAACTTATGGAGACATATTAATAAAAAAACTTCTCACCTCTCATTCTTAGATGCTAATGGAGTCGATTAATAGCGATTAGACACTGAGCAACAAATCTCACATCTTGTCTTTTTATATTTAAATTTGCTGTAGACATTTTTTGAGGTAACTCTCTTATCATGAAATTGACTAATTAACTTGTAGGTGACATCGTTCCTTTTCGTGATGACACTAAATGCCAAGTCTTCTGATCTTAAGAATCATTACAAGTATAATATTAGGTTCTCTCTCCAAATACAAAATATTGCTTCAGGACAGTTCTGCATCAACACGAGCTAATGATGGGAAGGGAAGTAGTAGGGCTTTTCAATCACTATGCTCATCTTGGAAGTTTTATCAGCTCCGGTGGGTTGTTATGAGGAAATATCGGCTTGGATTCAGAAAGCCTGGTTGGCTTTTGCTAACTTGCATCACTTGTGGGCTAGCAGAGATCTCTGTCTGCTAGGCAAATAGCGAGTATACTGCTGCTCTGGAACTTATTCTGATATTTTCACCTTGTTGTACGGATAACGCATAGGAACTCGAACCTATTTACGTACGCGCCAGGTTTTGTATTGCTTAAAATTGACTAACGATTTCATATCCAGCATTCACAGAGATGATGCATTCTTATTCTCTTAATCTTCAATCCTCATAGCTAGTACTATTGTCTTGCTTCGCTTCCTCCAACATTTGGTTTGTTTATTTCATTTCGTTGTTACAATGTGGCATGCCAATTCGGACCAACCCACATTTGTGTCATCCAGTAAGTTGAGCATAACCTACTGGATCATGAAAGTTAAAAAAGTGGGTCCTAAAATGGCACACCATGTGCTGCACAGATTTTCAGCACCATAAATTTTTCATCATAATTTTCTTCCACATGGTAAGGATTCGAGCCTACAAGATGTTGTCCGCTGTCTATTAAAGCTCCACTCCAAACTATGTGTTGAAACTTTCGGTTTCCAAACCATGTATCATACTGCACAACAGACTTCATTAGTTGTACTTACGATACTTGTCAGCAAGTTACTAAGTACTTATGATAATGGCTAGTGGAAAAAGTTAGATTTACATGTAGAAGACACATACGTTTCCGATAGTTGTTTGTATATAATAGGACGCTAACTGAGGGACGCTGGAGATAGACATAGAACACTTAGTAAAGTTAGTAGAATCGTTTAGGTTGTGAACTTTCATAAGCGTTGTTTGAGAGACGGTTCACGTGTCCCCAGCAATTCCCTACCTCGTACACTATTGACTGGTAAAGCAGTGGTTTCGAACGAGGCTACGGGCCACTCCAAAAACTACGACATTGGTCCGGATCGTGTCGGGAGTTTTAAGCTTCTCTACCTGGGTCCGTGTGAGAATAGTAATCTCTGGTCAAACAGCATTTGGTTAGGAGTCGGTCTCAACTGAATATACATTCTTTCCTTATCTTGATAGAAATACCTCGAATTGCCTAGCTTTTGTCAGTAAATGTTGAATTCTCTCCTGTCACGGTAACCGCAACGAAATTTCCTCTAATTTGTATTTCTACACGATCATTGATGTTCTCTAACGAATTGCTACCATTCTAAGTTTACTTTCTTGCCTTAAGGTCATGTTTTGTTGTTATATTCATCACACTGTTCCAATTTAGATTTGAATTCGTTAAATGCCAGGCATTATCTTCACTCATGTATTCTTTCTAGGTTTCCTCGTTTGAGGATAATTATCGAGGCGTTATCGGTCGTACTGTCAAGTTCTCATTAGTTCCCTTTCATACTAGAATAGTCTATCGTTCGTACTTGGAAATTTCCGTAGGCCCGATTGAAAAAGAGACGCATCTACATGTCTTAGATAAAATAATACAAACTGACTCATTCACTAAGTATTTGGATATGGGGCACATTCTAGATGGGAGGACTAATGATACTATCCGGTTAACAAAACCTTAAGTAAATGTGAATTGTGGCATCCTAAATCGATGCACATGTAAGGTAGTTCCTATGTCTTTTTAGTTTATTTACCTTCCAGTTTATCAATTTTAAATAGTGAACATTTCTTAGTGAAATGTTTACTTCCTACATGAGCTTTTGGAAAATATCGTCACTGGGTCTTAACCAAGTACTCCTTGTGGTTTCATTTCAGAAGATACTTCACTGCCTAGTATTAGCCCACTTACTCATTTTATCATAGAATTTTCTGTCACGTGTTAAACATTATGGCAGTTGTTGACAACTCCTTACACTTCGTTTTGAACAGTTACAATTGTGCACAAGGAAGAAATTTAGTCCCTGGAAATTTAACCTTTAAATTCGACTTACCTCTGTTAACTCTTCATAGGTACTGACATAGAAAGAAGCTAGTAGGGATATTCTAATATATAAACACTGTAGAAGTTTTCAAAGTATTTTCTGCTATATTGGGTTTATTAGGTGCAATGGAACTTGAAAAGAATATTTTGTTTCTTTCGAATTTTAGGAGCTGGCATGAAACTACATATGAAGAAATTCTGGACTCTAAGCCTTTGAATAACGAAACAGTCCTTATGAATCGTGCGTTGTATGGAATGAATGAAATAAGTATCAATCTTACTTCAATTGTCAGGCTACTACTTGATGAGGTATGTTGGTCAGATTACGCATTGAATAGTTTTGTACAAATTGAAGGTTGATTTGGTTATGGGTACTGGATACGTAGTTGTTATGCTTTGTATATGACATTTAGTTTTTCTATACTTTGTTTTATGTAGTGCTTGAATCCATTCTACTGTTTCCAAATATTCAGTTGTATTTTGTGGTATTCTGAAGAGTACTGGACGTACGCTACTTGTATTGTTGTTATTTCAATTATGTCACTATCATGGCAGGTTTATGAACTACGTAGAGTAAGTAACTACTTTCTTATTCTAACGGTTTTTAATAAGTGATGGTCTTGTTTTGATGTACTGGTCCAATGATTTACAGAATGCTTTGATTATCAGGACGTTACTTGTTCACCGATCTTATCTACTATAGTTTAGATAGAAAAGCAGTATCATTAAATTATTTAATAAGTGTGGTTTGGGGCTGAGCATTTCGATTTTTCTTACTTATTGGGAAGTTTCGGCTGTTTGTTTGCATGATTTAATTGTCAAAGGAACGTAAAATAATGATGGATTGATAATGTTAAGCGGTGCGAATGAGATAGCTAGTCAATTGCTTTGTTACCTCGATTTAAATTTTTCAATCAACGTGCAGTCGAAAAGCAAGAACAGCTGACCGCATGACCAATTTTGTCATTCTCTTCCCTTCTGAATACAAAAGTGTGAAATGATTAGTTTTAATAGTGTAACCTACTAGTAGTATAACCTATCCACATGAAATGATATCTAAGAGTCAGTAAGTGTCGAGTGAGTCAAAAACGTTAGGCATCGATCTATGTTAGGTTTGTTATTATAGTTTTATACTTGCCTAATTAATGTAAGTTTGATTTAATCTCAGCAGTTGTACTAATTCGTAAATGAGGTCGTAAATCCTTACCATTCCTCTCATTTTGTATTTATTCAAGGGCTAAACTGCGCCACATATTAAACTGTGTATATGTTTGACGATTTGTTCGTGATGTTTTTCGAACTAGATTAAATGAGTTGCTTTACAAAGTGATAAATTAATTCATAACGGTTTCGCCATTAGATTTTGATAAAAGTGATGAGGACAGCTTGATCACAATTATTCAGATAACATGGCATGTTGTTTCATGGGGTAATTTTAGCTTTTATCTTTTAGCGTGTGAATCTGAAAAACACTGAAATGTTCTAATTTAAAGCAAGACCATTTATAGGACAGGACGTATGTATTTATAGTAACTATCAAATAACAGTTTCTTCCTTCGTTTCCTTAGATCCAGTGAATTTTCTTAGTCATTATAGTGTGACAAATCCACACATGGCACCATTGAATCGTGAATTAATAGAACGTTGTATAATTCCTCAGTGAAAATTTTGTATTTGAATGTTTTGAATCAATGCTAATAATGCTGTATTTGCATACTTGCGTTTTCCCATTTGTAACAAAACGCTTTTTTTGTAGAACGAAAAGACTCTTAAAGAAACTATGTGTATATCCTCTTCTGTAATCGTTTATCGAGAGGAAGATGGGGTTAAAGGTATGCACATATTTTATTTTTCTGTAATCCTTTTCATGACTTGTATAATGACTGCACTTGGATTCCTTTCGTTTGGTTGTTGCGATCCATGATTTCTGATTGCTAACGTTATTGTGCAGTAGCCGAATATAAGTCAACAAGAAAATAAAACAGAAACAAAGGGTGTTAATCTATTTTAGATTGGTAAGATAAATCTTGTTTGGATTGGAACTGTTGTGGCAGATTCTGAATCATACCATTTAACCTCCCAAATCTCATTGTACTAGTCCCAAGTATTCAATTTAAGGGAGTTTTTTTAGCTCTCTACCGTCAATTGTGTATAATGGTTCTTGTAAGAGACGACTTAACTGTGAGGTGAAAAACGTTTGGAGCTATTTTTCAGTGATTTTACTTGTATTTATTTACTCCATGTTTATTCAGTATTATGGTTTTATTATTCTCGTATTTCCTAGTTCGAAGCTTTTATTTGAATTATGGATCCTTGCTATAGCATTTTTTACTCATAAACTAGACCGATTATTTGTGTATCAAATACTCCGTTTTTCCTATCATTAATGTCGTTGCTCCGCGCTAATACATATTGCAAAGTTAGGTTAATACTTGGGATTTAAATATAGCGTAACTCAACTCAGATTTCTTAATAAGTTGTGGTTGGTAAACTCGTTTACTAAAGTGAGATTTCCTAGACAATTTCTGCCCACCTTCAAAGCAACTTATTTCTAGTTCCATGAGTAGTGCTACAAGAATATATACAGTCACAGATTCGTAATACTTGCGTGTCACTATTAACAGTAGTTTTAGATTCTTAATATATAGTATGGAGAAGGCGGGATTATACTTACCCTTTAATGTAATTAGGTACCTAACGGATCTTAGAAGTGACATAAATCTGGCAAATGGTCAATGATGACTAATCTGTCAAAGCTGTTGTGGTTTCTAAAGTAAATGCAATGGTCTATATGCTTAACTTTTTCATTCCTTATTGTTAATGTTGGTATTAAGAAAAATGAGTCTTGGAATGTCTTACGCTTGGAAAGTGAGGAATACATACCGAAGGTTTCCAACTAACGCATTTAAAAGTTTCCTTTTTGTCAGTTCATTTGTGTAGTAGAAGTGTATCAGAGGTTAATCAACTAGGAGTAGGAACTGACTAGGAATACTTGCACCAGTATATTTACAACAGGTCAAACAAGGATAATGATAAGATGTGCTTGTGCTCGATGTGACATTCTGACTGTCAATGTTCGTAAATTTGAATTATTAGCATTATCAATGAGATTTTTATCTATTTTTCATGTAAGGTAATCAAGAACTTACTCAATTTTTGTTAATGATTTTAAATCTTTATTAGTAACGGTAACCGGGAGTACGTTATTTAAATCAAATCCTTTGCATGACCTTTGTTTTTCTCTGATTCGTTACCATTACTTTGAGTTCCATAATTTTATGTGTGCTTCAACTTTATGCTTTCTTTACTACTTACACTGGTGTTCCAGCCAGAAACAACTGATGAAGCTTTCTGGTGGATGTACTAGTCCTTCTGTAAAGGATTCCGTTTTTGGGGGCTCACAAACCCACCGCGTGAATGTGATTTAGTGGGGACCGCCACCCAACGGGTCTTTGCATGCATGATGGTATCGCACCAACAAAAAAAACAAGAAGTGTGCGATTTAACTTGCCCTGAATATGTTTGGTCTACTTGCATACTAGTTAACACATGGACTTCCAACGGTTTATTACATAGCATACATCCGGATATACATTCCACATGAGCAAATATACGTTACATGCACACCGGTAACAGGTTTTACCCCATGCATCCCATAGCATGCACAGGTATATTTGCCCACCTGGGAAGCTAGATATTCACCGCTTCCAAAGAAGACGTATTTGCTACACCAAACTGAATTACATATTATATGCACATCATTCACACCTTGACTACCGCCCGATTATATCTTGACAAACACATAAGCATAAGCATTCTATTAAGAGAGGTTGTTGGTTTCCTCACCCTAGTATTTGCTAACGCCTATTTTTATTATATCTTCGACCTGATAGCTAGGCCGTTGATTTTACTAAACAGGGCAGACATTTTCGCAGCTCAACGTTTCCTTTGTACGACACCTCATGCGTACCTTTTGCAGATACCTATATACTTGAACTATATAGGTCCAAGAACTACTACAATTCTCATACATAAGCATACACATCGTGTAGCCCGTTTGCTAAAGTGAGCCTAGAGTATAGAACCGAGGATTGATCAGATACAACAGAGTGAGTTATCGGCCCGATCACTGTGACCGCCTAAGTTGGCTAGCGGGGCTGCTCCCACCGTCCAGCAGCTCGATCAGGAGACCTTAGTTCGGATTTTGCTGTCGCTATTTACACTGAGTCGTACTATTTCTGTTTGTTCCTCTCGAATATCAAATTTTCCCCACACTTCATCTTTTTATGTTAGTGGCTAGTTGTTGAAGTGTTATATGCCAGCTGTGTTTAGTGGGTCCACAACAGAACTGTTCATATTCGAGAGTACCCTAATCGTTTCTTAATCCAAAAGTATTGTAGACCAACCGGAAACGTCAGAAATTAATCATTATTATCAAAATTTAACATAGAAAAAGAGCATTACTTATTTGTGTAGAAGTGAAAAGTATATTTTGTTGTGTAATAAGAGCAAAGCGACTTTCCTCATTGTTAAATGTCCTCTTTGCCTAACCATAATACAGTCATTTGAATAATGCGTAGTTTGAAGATACACATTATCAAGCAGTATGACCTTATACGATGAACTCAGTCATGGGATTTGTGATATCTCTATTTCACGATTTAACAAAAATTACTTAATTGTTTAGCAAAGATGGATAGTGGCTAGTGATGTAATCCATGATGCGCTTTTCATCCTATTTGGGACTCTGTAGCTGGGTTCTAGTCCTGTAGTGAACATCAAATCTGGGATACAGTTGCGTCCGGCTGAAGTGTCCAAAATAGGACAAAACGCACGTATGGATTCCGCTGCTAGCCACTATCCGTCTTTGCTCGTGTGGCGTATATATATTTGGTGCGCTCTTGTACCAATATTTATGTGACTTAAGGCAATATCGAGACAATCCTCTCAGGATGCACGTATGAAAATAAGAAACTGATCAATTGCAATGTTAAACATCAATGAGGAGCTTCAAACAAACAATAGAAAAATGAAATATTGATTGTATAGTTTCGATAAACCGTTCTTTTAATCCCTCAAAATGGTTATTTTAATTCCCTTAACAGTAGATATTCAGACATAATAATCTATTTGTTTATTAATATTTGAGAAGGAATGTCTCATAAATAATTATTTTCACAGAATTCAAAGAAGTGGATTCCATTTCATTAGTTCCCGGTGATATAATTGAAATTCCACAAAACGGGTGTCTGGTTCAATGTGATGCCATCTTACTAGCAGGAAACTGCATAGTAAATGAAAGTACATTGACCGGTGAGTCACATTAGTATAATGTTACTGTAGATATGGATTCATTAATATGTGAAGTAATGTCAACCATATTCTTAACTCAGTCTTTTGAGTCCTCCGATAAATTTTATGTGAATACACAAATACATATGAAGATTGCTGTAAAAAATTATGTTCTTTTATCCCTTTTAATCGTTTATTTCATATATTTTGGTTTTACATAATTCTCCTCAAGTACTCCATAATAATAATTATGATGATCATAATGATAATAGTGTTCCTTATTTAGAAAGTACAGATTCACATACTACTCGACCTTAAGTTTTGGTGTTTATGTGAGGTGTATTGGTTTTTCGGAACTGGCCACACTGAAATGTGATTTAGACCTGTGACCTTATGATTACGAACCGAGTGCAGTAACCGCTTGTTCGTTGGTTCCCTATCGATCCCTTAAAGCACTCTCTGTTTGTGGGTCGTCACACTACAGATGTTGATAATGATACGATATGAATTATTTAGAGTACCAACGTCAAAATGTATAATCTGTATAGTGTTTCTTTATTTTTGTGGACTGGGAAATATTGTTACAGAACTAGGATACATTGTCATTAAAGTCGTTCGAGAGGAAATAGGTCTCACTGACCACTGACGATGTTTTTGTTTTACATGAACTACTATGTAACAAAATAAGCAGTGTAATCTATGCATGAACATGGAAAGATGAGTGTGGTTTTTTGCATGACGGCGAGATCGTTTTTGCTCTGCGTGTGGTTGGTGTGAAACTTTGGAGATGTTCATCAATAACTTTGTATGGAAGTATCCACCATTATTTTATCTTACAGTAATGTGGTGAATAACATTGTATTAGAAATTAATGTCATTTGTGGACGATTTTTCCAATGATAAAATTTCTATTGTATAAGCTTAAGACAGTTTTGTAAAGGAGAACTGAAAGTGTGTAGAGTCTTCAAGAGATTTCACCGAAGTAAACAAAATTCAATGATATGGTTTCCTGTATCTGGGTGCGTGGAGTATCAATTGTATTGGATATTTTTGAGCTTGAGAAATACTTCATATTGTTAAATTAATTTCCGTGTTGGGTTTAAGAGCAACTGTATTTGGATTATACACATGTGTTTTGTGGTGCGAACTCAGTTTATTTCCGTTACTACAAATAAGCAGAAAGTACCCTCGTCCGAGCAACAAATATGATCAAAAAGCCTAAACATGATTTCCCATTTGCACTCCACTTGCTCATCATTTAAACAGTTTAGTACAGTGAGACACAGTGAAATAAGATACTGTGCTTGTTCACAGACTGTTTTCTTGTTTTTTGTGTTGTCTACACAAATAATGTTTCATGTTCAGAGAGTTGACACGAAGTGCTAATTTGAAAAACCGACTATATCAGTTGTTATGAATACTTTGCTGTTCTAATTACTCGAAATTCACTGGATCATATTGATTTTCACTTTGGACTTTGTATTTAAGACCATACTAACCCCGGTGTATTTCCAAATAATATTGTTTTCTATTTAAGGTGAAAGTGTTCCAGTTACCAAAATTCCCTTACCCGATTCACCATCAAAGGGTACGTTATTCGATATCAAGGTTCATGGTCGGCATATTTTATTTGCTGGTACTACTGTTATTCAAACAAGAAATTATGCAGATGAGCGAGTTCTGGCTGTTGTTGCACGCACTGGCTTTTACACTGTCAAGGGTGAGCTTGTACGGTCAATTCTGTTTCCGAAACCTCTAAAATTCAAATTCACTCAAGATTCCCTCCGGTTTATTTTTGCTTTGTCTATTCTTGCTGTGATTGGTTTGGGAGTTTCAATCTACTTAATGGTAAGAAGGGATGTTTTTTCTGCAGAATGTGTAGTTGTTTTCACCTGTCATTTGGTTACTGATGCTTTTCCACCATTCATTCCTTATCTCGTCCACCTTTTCAATACGATTTGCTCAGTTGGGGATTTAATTTCTGATTTAAATATATTTTCTATTGGACTGTGTAAAGTTTAACCTATTGTGTATTGACTATGGTAGCCATGTAATTGAATCGCTTCTACGACACTATCCTTTGGAGAACGTGGATAACCTATTATAATAAAGTCTCTAGTTTTATTGATTTACATATGAAGATGATAAAGTCCTGTTTGATGAATATGGTGGCGAAATTTGAAGTCATCTGACATTGTGTCTTTTTACCACTTCTACGTGGTAGGCCTCAAACTGGCTTTTTTTCTTTGTTTTGTCGTTTGGTGATACCTATGATGACCTTAAATCAATACTTCCCCGATTGACATTGGCTATTTCCTGATTGGATACTCCTTCTTTTGCACATCTTATGGTACTCAATCTACTACAAAGAACTTATTTGTGTAGTTCCTTTTTCTTCCTTGGACACTCGCTTTCAAAAGATCTTATTCTCTCCTCTTATTACCTGCTTTGGATTTAAATGCGGTTGAAGCATTTTTGTCACACAGCAGCTGTAAATATTAGTTACCTGTAATAACGAATAATTGGATTCCATGTTTTAGGTGTCGTACTTTTATGTTCTTTAAAAAATTCCAAATGGTTATCACAGTATTTTTGAAAAGATCTGGTCAATTTCACCCAAAGGGTACTAAGAGATCATGATTTAAGATCTGAATGAATAAAGTCCTTCTGTTGACAAGCATTTTTATATCACAAATGTTCTTGTCACTCATTGTATCCAAAATGATTTAATATAACTGTGGGTTTACTTGGGATAAAGTACGAATGAACAAAATTTCCATGAATTAGCGTTGGAATAAAATTTACTTCAGATAAAGTACACTTAATGTGTACTTCTTCCACATCGTGTCATCACTGTAAGATTGGACAGTGAACTTTGTTTTATGAATTTTAAGAGATTTTAGTGTTGCTCACAGGCGGCTTTTACTAATATAGGTCCCTATTAGGTGAATTCTATCTGAATTTGAATTTCGTTCACTCGTGTCCATTTTATAAGCCCATCAACATATTGCGTTGTTTTTGAACCATCTTATCCTACTGGTTTATACATGCGAATTATGAAAATAATGTTTGTCAGAAATGATAGGAACAGCTAAAAATGACAACGAATGATGTTTATTGTGTGGGCTCCCTTCCACGGTGTGGGCAACCGGGAAGTGAAAACCGCCCTCATACCTCTAACAGCACTCAAGACCACTGTATTCATAATCAACCTTCCTCTTCAATTCCTATTATTCCTCCTACATCGACTTTCAACTTTAAATTTCCTCTCTCGGCTTCCACCTCAAGTGTCACCATAGCCAACGATTCTGGTGCGCAAAATACTGTCCCAGGTCTACTGAAACCTCGCTCCAAACTACACATTGGAGCCTTCAACGTACGAACCCTATGTCAAATCGGTCAGCAGGCTTCCTTGGCTAAAACCCTAGAGTCTCTTACCATTGACGTGTGCTGTGTCTCCGAAACACGCATACAGGATTCCAGTGTGGTCATTCACCTGACCTCACCTCGGCAAAACGGAGAGCCAACGAGGTACACCCTTCGTGTATCTGGTGACCCGACGGCAAGTTCTCGTGGACTGGCAGGTGTAGGCATAGCACTAAGCATGAGGGCCGAACAAGCACTGCTAGAGTGGATCCCCGTCAACAGTCGTCTATGTGCTGTTCGGCTGAACGGCTACGTAAGAACTCGGAAGGATAGGGACACACGTCGTTGCCTTTTTGTCGTTCCTGCCTACGCTCCCACTGACTGCAGCTCAGATGATGTGAAAGATGAATTTTACAGAAAGCTGTCCGAACTTCTTCAGAAAGCTAAACGCTCAGACATAGTACTCGTAGCAGGTGATTTTAATGCTCAGATAGGCAGTTTAAACCAAACAGAAAGGCATTTAGGTGGATATTTTAGTATTCCGACACAGCGAACAGATAATGGTGATCGTCTGCTGCAACTATGCTCAGACAATCGTTTATTTTTAGCAAACACAAATTTTAAGCATAAAGAGAGACATCGTCTAACATGGCGACCCCCTACACCAAACCAACGATGGACTCAAATAGACCATATTGCCATCAGTCATCGTTGGAGAGCGTCGGTAGAAGATTGTCGCTCATTCTGGAGTACCTGCTTGGACTCCGACCATGCCCTAATACGGGCACGCATCTGCTTGCGCCTCACTGGACGCAAAAAAGCCACATTAAAAAGACCCGTTAGAACTGATTTGAGTAACGAGAAAACCAAAAGTAGGTTCCAGGAACAACTGAGGTCACACTTAGGTAGTTGTGAAGACGAGGCTGACCCAGATGTTGCTTGAAAGGGCATACAATCAGCTGTGGAAACAGCAGTGACATCTATTAGTGACTTAAACCACAGAGTTGCAAGGAACCAGTGGATTTCTTCAAGGTCTGTCACACTGATGGATTCTCGCAAACTCGTCCCATCAGGTCCTGAACATGATGAAGAGCGAAAACAAATCAGATCTAGGTTAAGAAAAAGTCTAAAGAACGACCGTGAGCAGTGGTGGGTAACGAAAGCAAAAGAGATGGAAAAGGCGGCGACTATAGGGAACACAAGACAGCTTTACAGACTAATAAAAGAAACTGGAATTAGTAAGTCAAGTGTAAGTGAGATTATTTCTGAAAAAGATGATACTCTCATCTGCTCCCAGTCCAGACGTTTAGAACGATGGGCGGAACATTTTAGAGAACAGTTCAGCTGGCCTTCAGCTACTCTACAACTACCCTCAATTCCCAGACAGTGTGAATAGAAGATTGAAGTAGGTCCCCCAACTCTAGCAGAAGTTCAAAAGGCTATAGTTAATCTGAAACGAGAAAGGTCAGCTGGTCCAGATGGATTGGCTTCAGAGGTTTTTAAGCATGTTTGTCCCATTTTAGCGATTAGGTTGACTAATATTTTAGCTAAAATCTGGGAGTTAGACGTTATTCCATCTAACTGTTCACAATCACTTATCGTCCCAATATATAAGAAAGGGTCAAAATCATCCTGTGACAACCACAGAGGGATTAGTTTAACAAACATAGTTTCTAAAATACTGGCCTCGATAATTATCAAACGCCTAACTAAGACTCGTGAACTACAAACTCGAGAGAACCAAGCTGGCTTTAGACCTGGTCGTGGTTGCATCGACCACATATTCACCATTCGTCAGGTTCTAGAACACAGGCATACCTATCGGCGTCCGACGATGGTGGTCTTTCTTGACTTAAAAGCAGCATTTGACTCGGTAGACCGCGAGACTCTGTGGCAGTGTCTGTCATTGAAAGGCGTACCTCAGAAGTACATAAACCTTGTGAAGGCTCTTTACTCGAACACTACTAGTCGAGTCAGGGCTTATGGCGAACTGTCATCTACTTTTGCAACCTCAAGTGGTGTCCGTCAAGGCTGTCCACTTTCTCCATTTTTGTTTAACTTCATCATAGACCTATTGATGGAAATAACACTCTCGTCGACTGAATTCTCGGGTATTGATCTCCTTCCAGGAGGTCCACTTATCGACTTAGAATACGCAGATGACATAGTCCTGTTTGGTGAAGACGCTGAGAAAATGCAGAGTCTTCTGGTAGCACTAAGCAACAATGCCAGAATGTTTGGGATGCGCTTCTCTCCCTCTAAATGCAAGTTGTTGCTTCAGGACTGGTCTGCGTCAACACCTGAACTAAGGATAGGGAGTGAAGTAGTCGAACGCGTTGATAACTTCACTTATCTTGGAAGTGTGATCAGCCCTAATGGGTTGGTATCGGACGAAATCTCAGCACGGATTCGAAAAGCTCGCTTGGCTTTTGCCAACTTGCGTCACCTTTGGCGAAGGCGAGATATCCGTCTATCAATAAAAGGACGAGTATACTGCGCGGCAGTTCGTTCTGTTTTAATTTACGGCAGCGAAACATGGCCCTTAAGAGTAGAAGACACCCGTAAGCTACTAGTATTTGACCACAAATGCCTTAGAAATATTGCTGGCATCTGTTGGGATCACCGGGTAAGTAATAGTGAGGTTAGACGCAGGGTATTAGGAAATGATGGTAAATCAGTTGATGAGGTTATGAATCTTCATCGACTGAGATGGTTGGGCCACGTATTACGTATGCCTAAACACCGATTACCACGATGTGCAATGCTAACCGGTATTGGAGATGGTTGGAAGAAAGTTAGGGGCGGCCAAACCAAAACGTGGCATCAGTGCCTGAAGTCACTAACTTCTAGTCTGAGCCACGTTGGTAGATGCAGACTACTTGGTTGGGGTCCGCGTGACTTTCGTAACCAATGGTTGGAGACTCTTGGTGACATGGCTCAGAATCGATCACAGTGGCGTCGGTGTATACACTCCCTGTCTTCCCTTAAACTAAGAGACTAAAATCACTTCATTCTTTCTGTCTACGAACTAATTCTTTCTTCCTATACTATATCCTTATTGCAACCTTTGACCTAACCACTCCTATGAATCCGGTGTTCATCTTGCTGTGCTAATGAGGTATGGCAACCTGGACCGATGCACATATGTGCCTGGTCCTACGTTGTAGCTGACTGACTGACTGACTTATTGTAATCTTATTGGTAAGTCTTCTAACTGAACACCAGATTCAGTTCCTAAGCTCTTCTAGTAAACCCAGGTTAAATCTACACAGCAACTTAAACGCGGGAGAAAAGGCGTGAATTCTGGAAGATTCACTTTACTCCAAAGATTCGTTTTATGTTCAGAAAATCTAGTGTTTTTATAGTATTTCAGATGGCCTTGGGTTTCCGGCAAATTATGGGACGCTACTGAACATAGTAGCAGTATAGGTAATCATCCAATCAGAAATTCGACATGTGACTTTTCACTTTACAGATGTTTCTGGCGAAACTTTTAATGAACACCTATTGGTTAGGATGCTTCTCAGTGTTTTCAGTCTTTTTTTGGCCTTTTTTCGAGGTTTTCTGGATCTCTCTAACACTTATGTGCAGGAATGGATGTCTACATGCTTACCATCTGATCAAAATCAGCCTTCAAATCAGTCAGTCAGGAACAACGTAGAACTTTGTACGTACGTACGTACATCAATTCGAGTTGCCATATCACATTAGCACAGAAATACAATTGTTGATTCAAATTCCGTAGTGGTAGAGGTAGTAAAAGTATAATCAGTAATTGGAAAGATTAGGGTTTAAAGATGTTATACAAGGAGTATAATCTAGTGAAATAAATTTGGAATGAGAAAAAAAGGAAACATGAATTCAGAAGATTCGAATTCTGGAGAACACAAAGAGTGGATGTACCTGCGCCATTGTAAACGATTTTGAGCCATGTCATTCAAGGTCTCTAACTATCGGTTGCCATCGCTTTGAAATGGATTTTATTAATTGTTTTTACTAGATACTTTTAACCCTTTACTTTCAAATTTACTTCAAACAATATATGGGTGGCACGTATTCTCGGTTTAGTACTGATTATTACCCAATTTGATGTCTCCTTTATTACTCGCGTATTAGACACTATAAAATGTAACTGAATATAATGTGTTTATTATGAATTTTTTTCAAATGATTGAAATTGTTTTAGATCAGAGTTAATGTTGGTGTTGGTGACATTATCCGTCGAGCGTTAGATTTAGTTACTGTAGTGGTACCACCAGCCTTACCTGTTGTAATGACAGTAGGAGTTGTTCTGGCTCAACGACGTTTGCTATCGCATGGGATTTTTTGTGTCAATCCAACTGTGATCAATGTTTGTGGAGTAATCAATGTAGCTTGTTTTGATAAAGTAAGACTTTTCTCGCTGCTTTCAGCTTATTATTATTTCTGACCTGCCTTTCTAGAGTTTAATATGAGTGACTGTTATGACCGTTTGTGTGTACCTTTAAGAATGAATCCATTTAAGTTTGTGAATCCCCTTACGATAAAGGGTTTGTTGGATTGGAATGCTTCCAAATGCCCTGGTGAGGCCGAGAGTGAAGAGAGTCACCACTCCCTCTCGAAATGCTCCCTAGTGGCCATGTGAATACAACCACCACCAGGGAAGTCCTACTCACTGCCTTCTCGCGACGCGGGTGCTGTTTACGAAATTGAGAGGATGAAAAGCAAATGTCCGGAGCCTTAACTTGGTTGGTGGACACTGAGAGACTATCTAGAGGACTTAGAAAACCCTGATCCCAAACCAATGGTGCACATGGGCTAAAGTATCCTGATGGAACGAATGGTGTATGAGCCGATGTTTGGCCACCGGCTACCATGGGACTGCATCTCCTGACGTTGCTCCACTACCTTGTGGATTAGACCTTTAGGTCAAAGACTCGGGATGTGCCCCCTTAAGAAAACCACCTGCACCCGGGCTGTATCCCGGCCCTCACACGCAAATCAAATGATGTTTTGTGGCGCATATCTGTTTGGTGCCTCCTTGTACCAATGTTTATATGTTTAAATAAATAATTAGGTTGGAAACCACGACAAATGATGTCCTTGTTATATTTATCTCCGAAGTGAATTTCGATTCAATTGTCTCCGGGGTCTTGAATTAATGACCAGTTAAGCCAAACCTGTCTCATCGGTTAGAAAGTATTAGTACTACACATAAATAAGATATTATTTCTTACCAAGCTTGGGAGTTTTGTTATTTCACTTTTATTGTACGAATTCCCCAATTATTTTCGAATCGTATTGTATATACCTAATATTTTTTACTACCACTGATGTTACTACCACTTCGGTATTCACCTTGCTAATTTAATCTTTCTGTGTCGTGGTGTGTAAAGTTAGACCGATTCATATTTGTGCTTGATGTGCTACATTGCTTATGGTTGACTATTTGATGTAGTTATCTTAATGTCGTCAGCTAAATAAATTTTCTCCAAATAACGAAATTCAGACTTTTCTGGTAGGCTACTGATTACGGATGTTACTGATGGCAGATGATGTTATTTGGTTTTATGGGTCGGAGATAAGGGGGATTGATGTAAAAGGTATAAATCAGTAAATCACAGTTTACTATCGATATGATTGTGTCGCAACTGTACTCCTTGTAAACACCAATACTGTTCATATACTGTAAACAAGTTGTTCAGCTAGAACTTCAAACTATTGTGTTACAGGTTGAAAACTTGTGTGGCATATCACAGTCTGTTAGTATCTTTTAGTCGTCATAGAACTAGTTTACTCTGAAGTCTAATGTTTTTCTGAAAGATTTTCTATATATCACTAGTAGTTTGACTGAGTGTTCTTGTAATTGGCAAACTAAGAGGTAAAATTGATAATGTTCACTTAATGAGTTTCACAGCTAACTTGACCAATAATTATTTCAATTTGATATACATAGTTCCCTTTATAATCTTAAAGAGAGCAAGAACGAAGATTGGTTCAGAATAATATGAATTCATTTTATTTTGTTAGATTCTCATCTTCTGTTTACAACCTATAATATTTTAAAATGAGAGTTAATACAGATATTGATGTACTCATAAATACGAAGGTGATTGGAAATGAATCCATTTGACCTTAGACTTTTCGGAATATGTTCTTTGAATCGGACGTAGACTCTCCTAATCTACCAATGTAACTGCATTGTAAATGCACGTAAATATGTATACACAGTTGATGATAACATGAAAGGGATACCTATCGACCTTTGATTGTGTTGAAAAACATGTTTCTTTGGACAAGACAATCAGTCCAGCTGCAGCATAAGTATTTGTCAATGCAGTTTGTAGTTTCATATTGATTGACCCTGTGACATCAACACTTTTGATATCAAGTTGAATAAAAATAGGTTTTTCATTTACTGTAGTTTCTTGGAGTTTTTTATCTCTACATTTTGCATATTTCTCAATTATTTCAATGCTCATCGATAATAATTATCTAATGTTTCAATGGAAAGTATGAAATCAGAAGCCATGCAAATTATTAAAAATATATCCACATGATTATATATATATATTTCTTCAGTGTTTTTTCCAGTCTAATTTTTCATTCATCTTAATGATGATGTTCTTTTATGTATGCTTATGTTGTTCTATCCTTTATTTTGTAACGTAATTATTAGTTATTCTGTCCTATTTCTACTGTACCGTTCTGCTCTAGACGTTTTTCTCACATCGGACTCTGAATAAATTGTAAGTGACACAGTACAAATTAGACACTCGTGTTTTCTTTTTCTTTCAGACGCCTCAAAAATCTTTCATGCTTAATTATTCTGTGTATTTTGCCACTTACTTATTCCCTATTTCTTTATTTTCCATTTATCTCCAAGATACGACTACCAATTCAACACTATGATTTTGTTATATTACCTTATTTTAACTATCTTGAAATATAGTTTTTTTACTTAACTCATTTTAATCCTAATACATGTATCAAGCTGCATACTAGAGCATAATTTCAGTAGTATCTATGAACTTTCTAATGTGTATAAATGAGTAGTTACTACCTGAGTGTGCCATTAGTTGTTAATTATCTAACCTATCAGTATGGGGTTGTAGGGGTTGTTGAATTTCATTGAAATCATTAACGGATCTAAGTTAGACACTATTCAAAACCTGGAAGCACTGGATGGCCATTTCGTTCCACTATGGTACTCCTCATCAGTGCCTTTCCACAACAAAATGGTCGTCCAGTGCTTTCATTCTTTCAGTGGTGGTCTAACTAGGTTGGACTTGTGATTTCAATGAAACCAACTAAGCTATTCAATGTTGATTTTAACTTTGTTTTGTCTTGAGTTTTGCTTTTCTTTTAATTATGCTTTTTAATACCATATGCTAGCTTTTTGTGTCATATTACGTAAAGTGTTATGTAAGGGTTGTTAGCTATATCAGCTACCATGACAATCACATTCAATTAGCTAGATTGATCAGAATCTTAGTGTTTATAATGTGAACACAAAATGAGAAAAATTAAGAACAATTTTTTGGTAAATGACTAAAATGAACTCAACTATATATGTCTATTATTAACCAAACTTAAACTTTCAAATCGATTATCAGATTATCTTAATCGTTTCATTAACGGGGTGCACTGTCCAATTGTACTTCACAAATGAAAATCATCAGCATCTGAAAAACTTCATCTACTAACAGACTAAAAAATAATGATCAGTTGAATCACCTCTTCACATTACCGAAACGACTAAGCTCCGGTTCACAAAAGAATACTCCTGAAAATGTGCTAAACTGAATTGGATAATTATTGGAAAAGATAGAAAATGGAAATTAACCCTAGTTTAATAAAAAAAATTCAAGAATTCATCTCTGTTTATAATGTTTGTGACTTGATAACAGTGTCGAGGTAATCTGCGCATATACGATAAGTGACTGAACAATTACAATCCTAAGCGTCAATGCGAAGATTCAAACAACCAATACAAGGTGAATTCAACTTCACCTCATTGCACAAGCCCGTGGTTACTAGGACTCGGTAGCTAAGTGGATAATGCAAAGGCACTTGAAGCGAACGGTACTGGGTTCGAGTCGCGAAATGTACATCAACTCTGGGATACAGGTACATCCATCTGACGAGTCCCGAATAGGACAAAGCGTGTGCCCTGAATTTCACTGCCAGCTACCATCCATTTCTGCTTATCAAGAATAAACGTACATGTATTATTGATTTTGATTTTTAAAAAAATCTAGATAAACACTGCGAACATCGTGTTCTTGCCTACCTGCTGTGTTTAGCTTTGATAACCATACCGCCTTTACTAACCTTTCCCATACTTCTCATCATAAATTTGCTCAAAATACGAAATGTTGTTTTTCTCTATATTTCATCTTCGTTTTATTGAGCAAATATAGGCTATTCCGTAATTGAAACAGATACAAAGTATGATTCAATAGTGATCAGCCGTATATAATCCTCACTTAAGAAAGCCTCATCTGTGGATTAAGATGTTTTCCTTGTTCTTAACAGCAGTATTAAAGTAGACAGAGTTAATCTGAATAGGACTGAACGAAACCTAAATAAGTTTTGTGAAGTTCGTATGGTAATATTTCTTCATTCTTCGATATTGCCAACTAGCGTTTTGACCTGTATTAAACTATATAGACTACCACACATATAGTTGTTATCCACTCAAATAAAAATAATCTGTAGTGTTGCATTCACATACACCTTTTCCTGTTAGATAGTTATAAGAAAATACATAATTTCTGCGGACTATTTCATTATTCTTTTTAACTTTAATAGTTGAGATCATGAGTCAATTGCAGCTAGACCACCATGGATACCTGGAAGCACTGGATAGCCTATTGTGGGACTGCTCAGCAGTGAGCATCCAAGATCCCGCCTCGCGAGATGCAAACTCAGGACCCTTCGGTCACTGGTGCTAATGCTTAACCTCTAGACCACTGAGTCGGCATCCAACGATGTTAATGTCTAACTTCAACTGATCCACGAACTTAAGCGACACATCCACCCTGGTCTTCAATGAGTTACTGTCTCACAACAGGCCCGGTTGAATTGAATAATTTCATATCATGATTTTAACAATTAAAGTGTGTCGACAAATTTATACCCGTTACTGCCGATAGTAAACAAAGTCAAGTAATTTGATATCAATCCAGTTACCCTAGGTCTTGGGGATTAAGTAATTATATATATCTTGGATATTTTTTGTGGTAAGGTGAATTATTTGATGAGTTGTACATCGTATAAATAAAATAGTTGAATAGTTACTTCTGTGTGCTTCATAATGGACTGAAAATCTACCAATTTTCTAAGTTTCCAGTGTATTGAATATTCAAATTATTGGGTGACCAATAGTACAAACTGTGTATTGATTCCAACAATATTCATTTTCTTCCACACTTTTGTTTATAGATGAGTGGATGACGTGTAAATTGAAACAAGTTCCATTCGCTTAGTTCATTACTCAGACCTTCTGATTGTTTCTCGTATGATATCTTTAAGTGAATGTAAATTATGGTGAATTCACTGTCATGGACAGTTAAAAATCAACGAAATTGAATAATTTCATATCATGATTTTAACAATCAAAGTGTGTCGACAAATGTATACCCGTTACTGCCGATAGTAAACAAAGTCAAGTAATTTGATATTAATCCAGTTACCCTAGGTCTTGTGGATTAAGTAATTATATATATCTTGAATATTTTTTGTGGCTTAGTGTTTCGTGAAAACAATTCATCTACTCATTTTGCATATTATCACTAGTGTTTTGTAAGTTGTTTTCATGTTGCTTACTAATAATGATTGTGTTTGCCTTTGGAATTTCGGGTTGGATCAGAATAAAGATTGATTTTCTACTTATCTCTGTTCCATGTTTGATACCGTGTTATTCCTTTAGATGTTACAAGCTAATGTGATTTTTCTCGATTGTGTTTGTTGGTAAACCTCAGTAGTTCCTCGGAAACTCCCTTAGAAGCTGGTAAACGTCTCAACACACTTTGTCCTTCCGACGTTCAATAGAAACATTCGCGAGGGTTCCAGAACACGATTTGTGATGTGTTTTATCCTGCCTAAATAATTACTGATTATGTCACCATAAACCTGTAGATACATGAATTTTCTGTACCTTGACCAACCTTGAAACTTGAGATTCTTTTGATACTTTCCGACTGTTGTTTTGTGTTTGGTGTTCAAGTGTAAGAAAATCTTGTGAAGTGGTTAGCGGTTAGAAAGTTAGTATTAAGTATTAAGTTATTCAGAAATAAGCTTTGAGATCTAAATAAACTATACATCTTTTCCGTTTTTTCATGATTTTTTAATAGACGGGTACTTTAACAGAAGATGGTTTGGATATGTGGGGTATCATTCCTTATGAAGATGGTTTATTTGGAGATCCGGAATTAGAACCATCAGAGTTGGATAATGGTCCTCTAATGGAATGTTTAGCGACTTGTCACTCATTGACATTAATTGAAGGAGTTCTGTGTGGAGATCCTCTGGACTTAAAGATGTTCCAGTCAACTAAATGGGTAAGGATTGTAGATGGTTCTAGTTTTTTCTACTCACAATTTTTCCTTCTCTGAAACCTAAATGTCGTAGTTACTTTGAGGTCGTTGTAAGATTCGCACATCATAACATGTGAATTAACCTACTAGATATTTTTGGTACAGGTATGAAGGTTCTGATTGTGTGTTCCCGCTGACAGAATGAGGGTTTGGAAAATGATCGACTTTGAACGTAGTTGACTGTGACCCCACCGATGGTTTCAGCTATCTTTTGTGTGTTTACTACTTATTGAAAACCAGGATGTCATTCAAAATCAGTTTGAATGGAAAATTCTTGAAGCAAGGAGATTCCACAACTTTGACTTGTTAAGCCTTGTGGTAGATTCACATACAACAGAATGATTCTCAAACTGTATGAGACTGGATTTCCGGATTTTATTTCTGCTAGTTATCTAATGTATTTCGATAAAATACAAATTTAGGTACATTGAGGGGTATTTTCTAAAATATCACAAAAGCTTGTTTAAAGGATATGTGTGTATAAGAAACTGAATTTCCGGATTTTATTTCTGACAGTTATCAAATGTACATCTATGTACGGCGGCCTGCTTGAATATCTGGGCTACCTGTTTCTGCCATCTGATTATTTCAACAAGTTATCTGTTTTTTCATTTGTTTTAACTTATCATTATGTCCATTAATCGCATAACCTATTCAGGCGATTTTATGAAAAGCTTACGACCTTTCGCTGCACAAGTTACAAAAACGTATTATAAAAGACATCGTGGTGGTTGGTAATATGCGTTAAAGAGAATGAATATTAATCGTATGTCGATTCCCGAGCTTCTAAATTCTAACTGCCGATCACTAATCAACAAAGTGGACTATCTGCAGTTCCTACTTAGTCAAAATATGTATCGTAATTGTGGTGTCATCACAATTCAAGAATCTTGGTTAAGTGATTTACAGGATGACTGCCGAGTATCACTACGTGGTTTCATAATTTATCTTCAGGATCGATCAAACAATAAAAAGAGGTGTGGTGGCGGTGTAGCTACGTTTGTAAACATAAACTGGTGTCGATCTTCGTTTGTGTGTTTTAAGTTTTCAAATGACTTTATTGACTGTCTAACTCTAAGATGTCGTCCAAAACATCTGAATAAATACAAATATGTTTATGTTACCAATATCTACGTGATTCCAGGTTGCACATCATCTGCGCTATCTGTTTTCGCTGATGAATTCACTGAGTTCGCTGTTACTGCCTTCAGTGATTCACTTTCAGTTGTACGTGATTTCAATTCATTTGACCATAGCTTCCTTGAGTCACTTGGTCACCAAAATGTAGTAGATTTTCCTACCCGTTTGGATGCTCATTTAGACTTCGTTTTCATTAATTATGTGGGTATATATGCGACTCGTAAACGTGTTTCATTGTCTAGCTCGGACCACTGTGTAATTCGTGTTCTACCTACAGTATATGGAAAGCATGGGAAGAGTACACTCTTACATCAAACCAAGAAAGTCAAATATAGGAATTACTCAGAAGAAAATATCCGAAATCTGAAAAAAACGTGTTTCATACGACTAACTGGGAATTATTTACAGATGACTCACTGGAAAACACTACTGATGTTATCACTTGTTACCTTAAATTCTGTTCTGATATTTGTTGTCCCACTGAAACCATTTTTGTAAGTTTTGATCAACTTACATCTACACAACTAAAACGGCTACGGGGGATGAAAGAGAGAATGTACAAGGAGAAGAACTCTAATAAAGTTCGTAAGCTAAATGGTCTGATAAACCTAGAGATTAGACGTCTCAACTGTATGTTTACTCAAAAACTCGCCAAGTATGTGGAAACTGTTTAAAGAACTCACAGGTGACAGACACTTTAGGAGCGATAACCAGCTGAATGTTCGTGACTTAAATAAGTTTTTGTACGTCAGTCATCTGATGTGATGCTCCCTTTATCCACGGGTTTAAAGAATAGCTGTGTTCCTAGTTTCACTGAGACCGGTGTCCGAAGATGTCTCCAGTCACTTAATTCATCCCGATGTTTGGGACCTGATGGTATCCCAAACCTCCTTTCTAAAAAATGCACTGACGCCCTATGTTATCCATTCACAACTATCTTTAACAGATCCTTCTCATCTAATCTCATACCGAAAATGTGGAGAAAGATGAAGATAATCCCTGTACCAAAGAAAGTATCTGGTGATAAGAATGTGAAATTTAGACCTATTGCAATAACTTCACCCTTCCTCAAAACCATGGAAACATTATTAGTACTTCCATTTGAGCCTGCGATAAAAGAGCATGTTGATCCATATCAGTTTGCTTACAGGTGCAAAAGAAGCACTTTAGATGCTGTTGCTGTTCTGCATCACAATATAATGTTCAACTTAGAAAAGGGTCAGAAGTATGTTCGATGTGCTTTTCTGGACTATACTTCAGCTTTTGATTCTATACCAAGACAACGTTTACTTAACAAGTTAATCAGCGTCAACACTGACAGCTGGATAACCAACTGGCTATGTTCCTACCTGTCTAGAAGGGAACAGTACACTGTATTTGGAGAAAAGTGTTCAGAGTCTCTACTGTCTCATGAAGGTGTACCACAAGGAGTTGTTCTTTCACCTCTTCTCTTCTCTTTTTTTCTGCATGATCTCCCATCTTCCACAGAAAACACTCTTGTGAAATATGCGGATAATGTCACTGTATGTATGCCTGTATCTTCCTCTTTACATTTCATAGAAATGAATGAGTTTTGTTTCGTATTGATTGTTGGTCTGTTGGTAATGGTCTCATACTTGATCCGTCTAAATGTCAAGCTGTTAACTTTAGCATGAGACATGAACGGAATCTAAACACCATTTTGAGATCCCATAATACCTGTACCATTGAAGACTCTTTGATAAACACAGTGTCGAAGGTCAATTATCTTGGTGTCACCTTTTCCTCTGATCTGTCTTGGTCTTCCCACGTTTTATTGTTATCGAAGAAGGCTTTCCGTCTGACTTGCTACATAAAGAGATTGCATGCTCTCGGGATTACTCGTCATTTACTCTTACAATTTGTCAATTATTGCATATTACCTATTATTCTTTACTGTTCTCCATTATTCTTTCCCGGACATTTGGGAAAAGACTTTGCTGTATTGCGGAGAGTGCTGAAGGCAGTTAGCAAGATGTGTGGTGAATCTTTCGAGATCATAATTAATGTGGATGTGGATAGACACCTAAAGTCATGCGAACTCCTGATAGGTGTTATTTTATCAGATACTAGCCATCCCCTTCACTCTTATCTTTCTCCTTGTATATCTTCTGGTAGAACGAGACGTAATTACATTAAAATCCATGCACGCGAGCAAAAGTATAAAAGCTGTATAATACCTTACCTAGCAAATATACTCTGTGACGAACAGGTTGTTAGAGTTGACCCAGTCGATAACCTGCATTCTAAACATGTCTCTTATTTGAAAAGTTGTACAGTTTCTCAGATCCTTTTTAAACCTTTTCCCCTCTTTTTGTTTTTGTTTCTGGTTTTGTGTGTTAGAAACTTGTTGAAATACTCTGTATTGAGAATTCTATATTGTACGAAAATATAATATTCAATAAAGCCATTAAATAAATAAATAAATATATTTCGATAAAATACTAATTTATGTACATTGAGGGGTATTTTCTAAAATATCACAAAAGCTTGTTTAAAAGGATGTATGCGTATAGGTCTTCAACAACATGTTTATTGACGCGTTTTCGTTTTGTGTTGTTTTTGTCAGGAACTCATTGAAGAAGCTGCTGACCACTGTAAATTTGAAATGGCTGTCCCTGCTATCGTACGTCCATCTAGTAAAACCAGTTTGATGGAAAAGACTTCTGAAAAATTCAATGGTGATGTAAGTTATGTTATGTAGTTAGGTTGGTGTATTTACACTGCCGTTTCTTGTACACTTGATATAAAATGCAGACTGTTCCAACCTGAGAGAGGATCGACATATGTTCTGATGATAAAATGTGGAGTAGTGTTGATTTTTGTGCTGGACATAGCAACTGCTCTGGTCCTTGTTGTCCTGTTCTACTGAACTGTCTTGTCGTTTATTATCAGTTAATTGTCGGCTTACATCAGTTATTCAGTTTCACGACACGCCATCACCCTGTAGTAAGTTTTTGAAATTGCGCAAAGTCAGACTAAACCAAACTTGTACTCGTGCTAGGAAAATTAACCATGAATATTCTTTTTGCAGTTAAGTCCCAAACCATGAAAATAAAGGTTTGAATGTGGAAAACCTTTTTCGCAACGAGATGATAATGAATTCCTACGATCGTTGTTTATGTACACTTTGAATGTTACTGCGAAACAAGACAGCTTAGTGTGTTAGAAATATCATCATAATAAACTGGATTAATAAAACTCCATGAAAGTCTGTTGGGGATATGTAAAAACTAAGGATTTCAGCAGAGGAAAACTGTTAATCACAATTCGTATGATATAACTTATAGATTAGTAACGGTGCTCAATTATGTTACATTTTTTGAGGAGGGATGTTGACGATAACTATTTTTCGCTGTCGTCCATTTAACTGATTGTCTTAAAAAGCCACATACATTGACGTTCCTATATCAGTAGACATACATGTGGCACTGTAGTGGTCTACAAAGTCAAGATACCGGGGGTTTGTTTTTGGATAATCTACACCGTAGGCAAATGTAGTTTTATCAATTTATAGAGATGTACTTGAAAAACACATCTATGGAGACATTGAATGTTGATGGCATCATTCACTATAAGTTAAGCTGAATGTTGTTTCCCGTCGATTGAATCAGTGTAGTTGTAAGTAAAAGACCAATATGGGGCTTGACTTCTGTAGCGTTGTGGAAGCCTTCACCTCTATTAAGAAAGATTTCCAATCATGTTTTATTTAACTATGTTAAGCTCTAAGTGAAGGTCAATTGTTGCTACTAAGGTATCTGGTTTGACATACTTTGCCTAGGCATTGACAAAATGGTCGTTTATACGGTTTCATGGTTTAGCTCTTTAGTGATCGAACTTATTTTCAAGTACTGTTGTTATGTTTCGGCATCCTAAAACTTATTGGAATTGGGTATCATGGTCACTACTTGCCCTTATAGACTTACGGTATGAAATCACCTAAGGTAATGCTAAAACACAGTGAATATCTGAATACAACGCAGGGGGTTTTGGTAAACAATATTTATAGTGTTCGGAAAGCATAGATGGATTATTAGCTTATTCCAATAGATTATAATATTTTTAGAGTTTGAGGTTGCATGTCAGCTGAGTAAATTACGACTTCCTTCTTTTCTCTGTTCTATAAAAATGCTTTTTATTGAAATTAAAAATCCTGATTTCACACACTTATAGGATATTCCATATGAAGTGGGTATTTTACGTCAATTTCCATTCAGTTCTTCATTACAACGTATGTCTGTGATTACTCGTGCTCTCAATCAAAATCATTTCAATATTTATACTAAAGGTGCACCTGAAACTATTGAATTATTGTGCAGATGTGATACTAGTAAGTAAAATGTGAAGATTGTCAAGAATTATTTTTTAAAATGTTAATACAACCGGTCAGTCATATTCAACGTTAAACCTAACACAAACATATATCAACACAATTTCCGACACCATTTTAACACTCTGAGACGAAACGATAAATATGTATACCAAAGTGGCATTAAAATTATGTACAGTAAGATGATTTGGCGTGTACAATCTTGTTCAAGAAAGTTTCTTGAATTCGTGTGACAAAATGTATTTAATCGTTTTAAAAGTGAAAATGTTGACAGCCGCTGGTTATACTATCCAACATCTTACATCGAAGTAGGGAGTTGTTGGACAGCTTAAGATAGGTTATAAGTATCTTACGTGATGAAAGTTCACACTTTCATCAACTAATTTGTTATCTCATTGGTTACCTAGTACGTAACTATTGCATCGTTCACTCGCTTCCTGAGCTCTTCTAGTAACTTCCATGCTAAATCTACACACCGACTTGAACACAAGGGAAATTGCGCCAAATTTGGGAAGAACGCTTTACTCCAAGGTTCCTTTTATTACGCCAAATCTAGTGTATTTATAGCATTTCAAATCGATTTTAAAACTTTTGTAATTTTTGTAATTTTTTAAACTTTTGTAATTTTATTTCTATTGCTTTTGAACTTTATAACTTCTCAACATTCATCTCTTGATTCTTACGTAACTACCATCCTATTGACCATCCGTTAAAATTCTGTTCCTTCTTTGTTTCTTACATTACGCAACTTAGCAACTTCTTGATCACTTTGAATATTAATAATCCTCTTTCTTCCAATTAATTAATGTTAATTTAAATGTCATTATGTAATTATTACGTAACGTATCCACTCGATGAGTATTATATTATTATTGTAAAACGTATATATATTAGTGTAGAGCCATGATGAAAAACTAATTGAAAAGAAATTTCTTCGCTCAATTCGTTCCTTCTTTATTTACCAAATGGCAAAATGGGAATTTTCACTATACTGAAATCGATTTGAGTTCGAAAGTTCTGGAATACTTGTAAACATAGTAGCAGTATAGGTAGTCATCCAATCAGAAAAGTGAAATATAACTTTTCACTTTGTAGATATTTCTGCCAAAACGTCTAAGTGAATGCAGATTGGATATGATGTTTCCCAACGTCTTAAGCTGCCGTTTTGGCTTTTTTCGATTAATTTTATCGGTCTCCTGAACATCATTACCACTAAACCTCTTAGTCAATGAATTTGGATTCTATACCCAAGTTAAGAAACACTTGTCGGGTGTTGGAATTAATCCCTATGTTCTAGAACCAGATAAAGGATGATTATTTGTTCTGAACATTCACATCCAAGTCAGAAACCAACCTGGTTTTCCCGCGTCTCTTACTGAAGAGCCTTGTTAAGCCTTGGATGATTTTGGTTGTTTTCACTTTAAATACTATAAATTCTTGACATTACGTTAATGTGTTTATGTCAGTTGATAATTGTTTTTAATGAAGTATTGGTAGACCCGGTTAGTCTACATGATGTTAAGATTTCATTTTATTTTCTGGACTTAAATGAGGGTCCTTTAAAACGTGTAAATTAATTTAATTATTGTCAATTTGAAACAGATCGTACAAGTAACTGATAACTGGAGATTTGTAGAAATTTTAGTATGTATTTTATAATTACGAAACAGAGTCAGTAGTGATAATAATAATAATAATAATAATATTTAGTCGTTCATTTATTATTGATGAAACATGGTAAACGCTATAGTTTTTTGTTAATTCATCATCTCGTATGTTTCAAGTGTCTATTAATGTTCGATTCAGAGTTTAATGTTTGTAGATTTATTTGTGATATTCACAAGCATCATATGTTTATATCAAATTTAGTTAAATGCTTAATTTTATGTCAAAGGTTATACATTATAAACTGAATCATGAAATATATATGTGACTTACATGAAATTTATTGTCACTTATTGTGTATATACTTATAATTTTTAATAAAAACTGTAGACAAATTTTCAATACTTGTTTTTAATAAAAATGTATTCACAAGACAAATGTGTCGAACTAGTAGCATGCTAGTTTACAAGTTACTTCGGTTAAAGCATACACACAGACATAAATTTTATTTTATTAAAATATGTTTTCATTGTGTTTGACGTCCTGTTTGATATTTCTATGTCATTCAGTATATATATAATGACCTATGATACCTACCTGGTTATGTATGAAATGATCATTTGCATTGCTGATTAAGAAATGTTAATTAGGGATTGGCAGGTAAATCCATGATTATTGGTAGCTTTGTAAAATCCACAAGCAAAATGACATATGTGTACATCTGTTGTGCTTACATGTGTTCATAATGTATCCAGATGCACAATAAACAATAGACACCAATTTTTTTAAAAAAAATAAACTAGATTGAGTGATAGTGACTTAAATTTGTTGCAGTTGAAATCAAAGGAATACATTGTAGAGATCTTAGAATTGACTGGAGATAAATCAATATTTGTATAATGTAAGTTTATATAAACGTGAGGATAACAGGTTATTCTATCGATAATCGATCAGGATGCTTGTATGGATTTTTTTCAATGCCACAACAGAAGAATAGAGTATTGAAAGTTATCTTAATTACTTACGCCTGTTACCCCTCGTGGAGGAACGCCCACCAGCATTCTCCATCCAACTCTGTCCTGAGCAATTCTTTCCAGATGCTATTCCTCCTTTTGATGTCTGCTTCCAATTCTCGATGTAGTATGTTCTTTGACCTTTCCCTTTTCCATTTCCCTTCATGATTCCAGATAAGCACTTACCTCGTGATGCAGTTTGATGGTTTCCGAAATTTGTGTCCTATCTACCTCTAGTGACCTTTCCTGATTTCCTTTTCATCTGGAAGCTGGTTTGTTCTCTCCCACAGAAGGTTGTTGCTGATGGTATCTGGTCAACGGACATTTAGTGCTTTATTTAGAGAATTGTTTATAAATACCTGTACTTTTTTGATGGTGGTTGTAGTAGTTCTCCAAGTTTCAGCTCTATACATTAGAACTGTGTTGACGTTCGTATTAAAGATTATGACTTTGATATTGGTCGACAGTTGTTTTGTGTTCCCTATGTTCTTCAATTGTAGGAATGCGGCCCTTGCTTTACCAATCCTCTCCTTTACGTCTGTATTGGATCCTCCTTGTTCATCGATGATGCTGATCAGGTACGTGAAGGTTTCCACATCTTCCAGAGCTTTTCCATCAAGTGTGATTTGGTTGGTGTTCTCCGTGTTGTATTTGAGGATCTTGCTTTTCCCTTTGTGTATGTTGAGTCCTGTTAATACAGAGGCTACTGCTACACTAGTTTTCTTCATCTGCACTTGTTCGTGCGTATGGGATAGAGGAGCCAGGTCATCTGCAAAGTCCAAATCGTCTAGTTGCATGCAAGCTGTCCACTGTATTCCATGCTTCCCTTGATATGTGGTGGTCTTCGTAATCCAGTCAACCACCGGAAGAAAGAAAAAGGGCGAGGGTAGACAGTCGTGTCTGGCACCGGTCTTCACTTCGAAAGCATCTGTCAGCTGGTGTGCCTGAACGACACTGCAGTGTAGTCCGTCGTATGAATTCCGGATGATATTGAAGATGTTCTCATGTCCACCGTGGTGTCGAAGAAGATAGTATAAAGTCCTCCTATCCACGCTGTCGAAAGCTTTCTCATCGTCAAGGAAGTTGATATAAAGTGACGAGTTCCATTCATTTGATTGTTCAGCGATGATCCGTAGTATTGCGATTTAGTCTTTGCACGACTGATTTTTGCGGAATTCGATGTTCTGATCTCAAAGTTGGGCGTCTACTGAGTATTTCATCCAGTTCGTCAACATTCTGTTGAAAACCTTTCCTGGTACCGATAGTAGTGTGATTTCTCTGTAGTTTTGACATTTGCTCAGATCTCCTTTGTTTGGTATCTTGATGAGGTATTCTTCTTCCCAGTCTTTCTGTACTTCCTTTCCCTCTCAAATGTTCCTGAATAGAACATTGAGTGTCTTTTCAGTGATTTATGTGTTTGACTTCAGTGCTTCAGCTGGTATGTTGTCTGGTCCTGCAGCTTTCCTACTCTTTGTTTGTCTGGTGACCATGCTGAATTCCTCGATGGTTGGTGTAGTAATATCTATAGGAAAGTCAGTGTGGGTTACTTCGATGTCTGGTGGTGCAGTGGGTTTGGTATATATATGGATTAAATCATGTTCAGTGCAGGATTATTTTGCTGCACGTTGATTGTTTATTGTTAATCAATCAGCGCTAGCTGGTACCTGGAGCAGATTCTTGAATCTTCTCTTGTAAAAATTATAAATATACTTGTAAAGTGTGATCGATAAACGAACTCACCAATGATAAGGTGAAACGCCCACCACCACATTATCTTTCTTTGACCTTGTATGACTATATCTTGTTTATTCATCAATGTTCATTGTAAAACAATATTTGCCTTGTTGACTCATTTTTCCTATCTTCTAGTTACTGTTCGGTGTATTATTCATGTCTCTGTTATTCTCTGTGCTAATAGTTAACAGTTTGTTTTGTATCCTAACGGTGTTAATTTATGTTTTAGAAACAGATAAAGTTTATCAAGCCAAATAGCTTACTTGTTCTAACTTTGGCTACACCAAGACTGTGCTCGACAGTCTAAAGAATAACTTAGAGTTACACCTGTAGGAAATTGCTTCTTACAATACTAACGTTTTTCTTACTGTGATTCCTACTAACATTCAACCTTGTTATTTGGTATATCATTAAGTTCCTAATCAACCGTGTTCTGGTTTGGAGATTTGTCGAATGAACTAGTGTTCAAAAGTACTCAGCAATAAGAGTCGCTGGGTCGTATATGAGAGAAATCATAACATATACCGTATTATTTATATCATGTGAATATGTTAAACATTAAACTAATCAACAGAATTTGTAGGTCAGTGATAATAGTGAAATACAGTTTCTTGACTAATCAACCTATTATTATTATTATTATTATTATTATTATTATTACTATTATTATTATTCAATACTTACTACTACTTCCAGTCACTATAATAACTGTACTAATTTACTCGATATTTTTTAGTTTACACTGACATTCAGAAGTAAATATATAATTCTAGCCTACAATGTTTTTTAACTAATTAATATTTGCAAATCATTCAATTAATTTTAATTTACATATTTAAAAGAGTGTAATTTTGCTACATCTTGTCTCTATCCAAGTATTTGTATCTTTCTGTGTTCGTTTGTTCATAAATGGATTAATGTTTGTATTGTTTTGTAAAGTTTTTCATTTTTAACTTTTTTTTTAAAGAAAAAAATCCAAACACTACGCTGTATTACATATTTTAACTGTTAGTGATATGAAAAACATGAGAAAACAAATTAATTTATCGGTTGATAATCACGTTTTTTTGCTCATTGTTTTGGATGATCCATTTTAATGCATATATATATAACATTCCTTTTTATCTTGTTTTGTCGCATACATGTGCCGCTTTTCAAAAAGATCACTAATTACCGTAACCATACGAATATAAAATTCTTACATTCATATTGTGAATTATTATTTATTGATTGTCAAATTATGATATAAGTTGATCGTGTATTTGTTCACATCTTGTTTGATTGGTAAATTTCAACTGTGATCTAGTTGGTTGTTATGTTAAAAAATGTATATTGAATTAATTTGCATACAATTAAATGATCACTAAATGGTTGGATCTATTTTATGTTTTTCTAGTCTTTTAGAGCTGACCGAATTCTATCAAACGTACAATGTGGAGGGTAGTTTAAGTAACTAGACATTATATGAGTCACATTAAGATATTAGCTGACTGAAGATAGCCGACTATATTTAGCTTTTGTTTTAAGATTAATTTGTATGTTGAGTGACTTATGTTGATTTGATGGAAGTTTGATATCTTTTGATTTAACCAATAAGTCATAGTCTTCAAAATGAAATTACGTATGGATTACAATGATGAGCGAAACAACTTTCTAAGTTTTTTAATTTTATCAACTATTGCATAATTGTGAACCATAATCCAATTGATTGGAAATAGATATTGACAACATAATAAAATATATTGTTCACTGTTCGAAACACGTTCGTCATTTGATTATTGAGTTTTGTATTTGTTCATAATTTGTGTATAGATAAATAAATAAGCATTAACATATTGAATTCTATAGTATATACGATACGATGAGTAGAAATACATCCTCATAGTGTGCCTAATCAACATGCTATCATTCTACAGTATCTTTATTGAAAATTGTTTACAGGTGACAATTCAGTTTTTCTCTAGTTAGTATCCGATTACTTGATCACTAAAGTTTTTCTCATGATAGATTTTGTAGGCAATTAACCTCTCAGTCATTCTTGTTGTGTAATCAATAACTCAGTAATTCTAGTATATAAACTGTTAAAAAAGGAAATAACAATTGATCTTTTTCATATGTTTTGGGCAAACTAATGTTAGAGTTCTCTAAGATGTCGTGATTATTTCGAGGATTGTTTGCTGTATTAACTCTTTTAAAGCAGTTAAATAATTATCATAATCAAGTTTCTTTTAAATTATAAAAGAACAGCAATATCTATCAGATTTTATAATATTTTGTGTTATGTCCTAAGCCCCATCAAATATCGCGTGGCTAAATCGCCGATTAGAACATCGACTTATATGACCTTGTCCCTTTGCTAAACTAATGACGCATTAATCAACACTATCAGCCTTGAATCAACTCTGAGTTCTTATTGATCCTCTGTATAGTAGCTTCTAGTCCAACTCAGCCGGTTCAATCCAAAGTACAGTTATCAGCTGTAAGAATCATGTATTTCAGACATACGCAGTTTATATACAAGCAAACCAAACCGCATCATACCATAAAATAGAAAATAACAATTATACATGATCAAGCCAAGGGTGACTTTGAATGTGAGAGACTGTAACGAATTAATGGAGAATAACTTAAGAATGGTAAATCGTATAATAGTCAATAGGTCAAATGAAAGGTATATATATATATGGCAGTTACCATTTATTTATTTTTCGCTGGCATACAACAGTTTTTATTTGGTAATTTAGTATGAATCGTTAAATTCTATCTGTTGGTTTAATAAATCAAAAGGGGTGTATCTAAGCTGATATTACCATTGATTTTTAAAATATGTTTTCGTCAACTAGCAAAGTGTTTGATACCATCTTTATGCTTAAATTTTTAGATGTAAGTCATACAATTCATTTACAAATTGTTAGTTTATGTAATAAGTTTTGCTGTGTACTACATGTACAAGAGCTCGTGAAAATACAACAGTGTTCATAAAAGAATTTGTATAATATAGGTTCAGACCTGCAACTTATTGAATAAAAGCTAATTGCTTTTACTACTAAGTTAATACATAAAACTAACTCTAGTTAGTGTTTTTACTACATCGTAATTAAAAAGTAATATTCCTCAGCTTTTTTTTCTTGCCTAATTACTTACACTTTAGTATTATGTTGATCCTGTTGAGTAGAATCTAGCATTTACGCGTAAATTTCATAAACCAGTTTTTTCAATCACTGATAATAATAATAATAATAATAATAATAATAATAATAATAATAGTCGTTTCATCATCGTAATAAAAGCATAGTAGCATATTAATTTGTTCATTATATTCAATAAAATAATCCTATATGTTATATTTAATAAATTTCCGGACACCTCTTGTCCATAATAATGTCAAGGTTTTTAAAAATCAATATTTATTCTAGCTATTGCACTTTAAACATTTAATATGTATGCAAAGAAATTTTAGATGACACTTGTATTATTATTTTATAAATTTGTTATTCAATACCTTCTGGATGTAAATAAATCAGTATGATTTAAACATGATCCAACCAGCTCCTTGTATTATCGAATTTGTATCAGTTTACAATAAAATTCTATCATTCATTTTAATAATTAGACGTTTATCAGTTAAATTTAACTAAATTATTTAAGTCAATTTTATTTAACATTATGCCATTTGTATTTTCATCAGTACTGAATATAGTCTGTAGTTAATTGGGTCAATCAACTTAATCAACCGGTAAAGATTTTTACCACTTATCAAACGGACAGATTTTTTCATACAATTAGTTTCTTTAAAAACTAAGAATTGAACAGAATAATATGTCACTATTTCATTCTGTCAAATTTTTTGTTCTTGCTCTCTTTGGTATAGATTATTATTATTGTTATTATTATTATTGGTTTGTTATTTGATTTTCATTCATCTATTATATCATTTATACGAATATTCGTCAAGATTAGAACGAATAGTTTGACAATAATTGAGCGCCGAATGTAAAGAAGTCCTTATATGTGAAAATTATATTTGAAATATTCTCAGCGACGAAAATTTAACTAATTCCAACGTTTCGTCCAGCTAACTTGTCTGGACTTCTTCAGGGTAATAATCAATTTATTTGTTTTAACCATGAAACAAACAACTTTATCACAATAAATATTTTTATACTTAGCTTCTCTGAGCATATCATATGCCAGTGTCCATTTTCAGATCAGATGAAATTCATATTGGATGTTTTCCAAAAAAAATTTTATTAAACATATATCAATATTTTATCGAAATTTCCCACAATTTATGCCGTCTTTAAATTGAACGTATAGATAAAAACTACATATCAGTTGTGTTTGTTAGAGAACTTCAGTTATTGTTTTCTTCTATTCTTTAGTTCCTAGGGATTTCCATTCTACTCTGTTGGAATACACACGTGAAGGTTATCGAGTTTTAGCATTAGCTTGGAAACCATTGAAAGCAACCTATACAAAAGTTTTACGTGTATCTAGGGAACGTGTTGAACAAGATCTACAATTTCTTGGTTTATTGATTATGGAGAACCGTTTGAAACCGGAAACAACTCAAGTGATTGAAACTTTAAGATATGCCAATATTCGACCCGTAATGGTAACTGGTATGTTTCGTTTTCATTGATGTGTTCATTTTCAATATGATTTTTTTGGAAGTGCGCTTTTCTAGATTATTTTCTCGAACAGTTAGTAACTACAGCTTATATAGGTAAACATTAAATCTAAACTTGGTATACTCTAAATCTGTATATATACGGGTCATCATCATAGTATATTATTATTATCATTACTAATTTTGTTTATACTTTGTCTTCTGTTTCCCATGTTGGGCTATTCGGAAAAGCTACCAAACAACTTGGCTTCGACATTCTTCTTAAGCCCATCTACTTAGTGATCAGTGTTTATATGATGTGTTTCTATTTTTAGAATTTCCTTATCTAGGACAGTTTTATTTCCCACTTGTATTCGGTTGCACTGTCGTTGAATCGTTTATGTATGTTAGTTATTCGACTTATCTGATGTATTTAAATTGGTCTACATATTGTTAGTGCCACTGGAACTGTTTCATTTTTACCAATAATCTTGTCGTGTATGCTACATTTGCTGACAAATGTAAGTAGCATGTAGTACTAACCGGAAGTGGAATGCTTGGTAGCAGAACATTGAAATGAAGAGATCAGAAAGCAATCAAAATAACAAGATAATTAGGGCAATAATGGAGTACGTAGATGGCAATGTAAAGAAGATATGCAAATGATGTATTTAAGATAAGATTTCCTTATTTTGGTTAGTCATTATGTGATGTTGAATTAAACACTAAATTGGTTTCCTCCACCTGCATTTTCGTTCACTACAACATAACTATTATCCTTTGACCATCTATACGACCATTAGTAGTAATAGAACATACAGTGTACGTTTCTGAATAAGTCACAACAGGTTCTATTAAACTGATACCCTTAACTGATTTTTACGATGAATACTATGATACTGTTTAGTAATGAAGCAACTTTATAGACTGTAATTTGTATTTCTTAATGTAATTATCAATGTTATGCAAGTGTGAAATCTAAATGAACTAAAGTGGGATCTTATTGTGGACTGCGGGTGGCTACTCTAATTTCTACCGACTGACCAACTTCAGATATCCCAGTACAACCCCATTACTGTTCCCAATCTCCAATATATCAGAACACGAACCGTAGATGAAAATTGTTAATGGGGTCAGAAGAAGAATAAGAATTTACAGACAAATGTATATTTATACAGTTAGGACTACCGTGAATACTCACCAACAGGAAAATGATACATGAAATCAATATTGACCAATAGGAAACTGACACCATTTCACTTTCAAGGATAGCATTAGACCTAACAGGATAATTTTGGGATATTTTTCTGAATATCCCAACAGTTTTTTTCAAATTTTATGGAATAATAAATATTTCCAGACGCATTATTCCATTTTTGGAGTTTCATATATGTTAAGATGTTAGATTAACCGAAAATAATCATCATAAATCATTTTCATCTTGTTTATCTCAGTTATCTATTTCGCAATAATTTCTTAACTGACAATAATATACAGGATATACATACCAGTAGCATTCTATAGATTCATTATTAAGTTTATTTAATTGTAAAATATTCGTAAACATGTGATTTAGAATGATTTATAATTTTGTTGAAAGTCATTAATCAATGTTTGCAGAAAATTATTATTATGAAGCCAAATTTTAAATCTTTTATGATGGTTCAGAAAGAAAGTGGCAATCTACTCAGCTGTTTATAACAGCTCCTCACGATGCTCCACTGCCTTGTGGATCAGACCTTATGGTCTTAGGCTCGGGGAGTGGCCCCCTAAAAAACCCACCTACTTCGGTTTGGGCACCCGGGCAGTATCACAGCCCTCACACATGTCGAATGAGATTTGTGTGGCGCATGTGTATTTGGTGCCTCCTTGTACCAATATCTGTGTTAAAATAAATAAATAAATAAATAATAACAGATTATAATTGTTATTTTAAAAAAATAAGATATATCTCGAAATTTAATTTCTTTTTGAGATTGTTCATCTTTTGAACAGTAAGAATTCTACTTCAATCCTTACAACGGATTGCGTTCTCTCTAAGTTCATTTTCAACTGTTTGGCGTTAACTCATAGTTAGCCGAAAATCTTATATCTAGTTTCATTTGAATAATGTACAGAAACATTTTTTTGAAATAAATCAGTCGACAGTATATCATTAGATATATATCTTATCTGTAGCTGGTGTAAATGCTATTTTTAATTTGTGCAACATCATTAACTAAATCTTGACATTTGATCATTTTTCCTAGTATCAAAGTACTTTTTTGTTTCTTCAGTTTACAGTGTATGCTTTATCTTTAAATTATGAACCCTTTTATTTGAGGAATTATGAGGTTTTTTGTTTTGATGTACTAAGATTGTCAAACGTTCTATAAATAATGTATTCTATGTGTGAAGCGCTAAGCCGTACTTTTAAAACATCAACATTGGATAATTGAACAAGAAATCTGTTTGAATTAATATTTAATATGATTTTGTCACTTTAATGTGGAATAAAACTCCAAACTAATGCTACCAATCTGATTCGTATGTGAAATATCACTGGATTCATTCGATGACAGATTAAACAGACAATTAGTTCGAATTTCTAGTAGTTCTATATGTTACTGGCAAAAAATCGTGAATTTTCACTGTCAGTCACTACTATTTTGTTAGATAATAATCTCAAATATGTTTATTGAATTACTGTGAACTAATACATCTGGGACAACTGAACAGACAACCATTGACAAATCACGTTAACAACATCGCTAATTATTCCTTATCCCAATAACTAACAATTGAAAGAGGTGTAAAAATATTCTAGATTTTCTTCACCTCTCCTACTAATCATGATTCAATAGAATAAGTGCTTACATAATTATTTAGTATTTACTTTGATATCTGACCTTTAAGAATAAAATTTTAGTTTCGTATTAGGTCTAGTAATTAAAGAATAGTTTTATGGAATCTGTTAATCATTAATTTTAGCTTCATTAATATTTCGATTTCTCTTTCATCTTTAATTTATATTTTCTTAAATTTGACAATTCAATTCTTTTTTACCGGAGTTTATACCGCTTACTATGAGCACATTGTATGACAGATAACATGGTTGACTAATGCGATTTGAATAATTTCTACTTTTTATTCTTATGAAAATTTTATGAAATCTCAAAAGAGTTATTTTTAAAATCTTGTACATTTATATCTCAGATGTTTTTCTTATTATAAAATCTGTATCCGTATTTTCACCCACTAATTTCTAAAACTTTGGAAGAACATAAAAATTGTTCTTTGTTATATGAATGTATCTCTCATTAAGTTGCCATATGATTTTAACAGTGTGAATATAATCATAAAGTGTCACGATTCATTTGAGGTTACTGCAAAATGTAATCATTACTACGTCATTTTATTTAGAAATCACGTTCTCTTTAATCTCATAAACTAAAAAGCGTTTTATTGATCTAGGCTTAAGTTAATAAGTCAAGTGTATTGCATAACAGTTTCATAATTTTCTTTGAATAATCGTATTAGAGTTTTGCTTCTTTTTCTCGATAAATATCTCTCTGAAATTAGTTTTTCACATGATAAAAATTAAACTGAAATAGTTTACATGATTTTCTTTCAATTTTTGTGACTCAATGAAATTCCATAAATTAATAATTCTTGTTAATTATAATTTACGTTTGTTAGTAATATGAATTGACAAAATGCGTTGTTGCTCATCATTCAACCTTCTTACTTAGGTGATAATATGTTGACTGCATTGTCAGTAGCTCGAGATTGCGAGATGATCGATGAACTGGATCGTATTATTCTTGTGTCTGCAAAACCACCACCATTTCCTCGTCATGTTCAGTCATCTAGTCCGAATGATTCTGTAACTTGTTTTACCAAAGTTGATCTACCCAGTGATCAACCCCACAGTCATACTTCTTCAAATCATGTTAGTTTACCATTTGTTTCGTTGACACAATCACAAGGAACAAGAAACAACAATAGACCACGTACACACTCAAGTTTTAATGCAGCAAATTCTTTATTTGAGGAAAACTTCTTCAATCAACAATACGATTCATTAGTTGAATTTCATTATGCTGAAGATTTACACAAACCAGTCACTGAAGTGACAGCTACAACTGAAACAAGAACAACGAGGAAGTCTCATAGATCTCAACCTGTTAATAATACTTCGACTGAAACTGATGTTGATCCGCACAGATTCTCTGTAAGGAGTAGTAGGAAATCTCGAAAATTGATGCATCGCTTGTGTGAAGATGTTCCATGTGTGTAAGTTCATATGAATTCATTTGTGAAAATCTCCTACTAAACCAATATTTATTTTTTCCATTATGTAAATGTAATCGCTTTCATCTAGACTGTTTAGAAAACCCTCTAGGAAGCACGTCATCAGTGATCATTCTACTATGTTATGTATACCTTACCTATATATCCGCTTTATAATTACCTCTTCATTAACATAGCCCTTGAACCATTTGCGTGGTATTTTTCTATCTTTCTATAGACCTATATATATTTACCAAACAACTACAAATTCGAATGTACAGCCTAAGTAAATGTTATTACTTTGGTTAATCAACATTGACTACCAGATCTTATCTCTACCTTGCTTGTACCTTGAAATCTCTGAACTTCAAGTTGCATGCTAACAACTCAGCACCTGGATTATTCATGAATAACATCTTGAATCATTTGGGATGTTCTACATTTTGATCTCTATTTAGTTTTTTGGCTATTCGTATGGAGTACGTAGTCAACCATACGATTACTCACCTTCATGTTTCAAGCCATATTTCGATATTTAAGTTCTGTGAATTGTACAATTGTGCGTTCACAGATACTGTTAAAAGTTAGTTGACAAACAGGGCAGTTCGCAAGTAACGATCATAATTCAATCACTAATTTCAGAAAGTGTTCACTCAACCTTGAATTAAACTGGATCGTGTGACATCTGAAAACCCTGCATATGTTTCTACAACATAGTAGATAAGGATTTATGGTTTAGATGTTGTTGAAATTACTAGAAGTTGAGTGATCTGAAGTCATTGGAGTCATCGCGCAGATTTCCGTTCACCATTGTTTGACAGTTCGAAATTATGTAACTAGATGCGAGACCTCATGATATAAACATCCTGACTATTGAGTACTATAGATCTGCATGAACGATTTTTCCTTCGGAACGATGGATTCATGATTAATAGATTCCTGTGTGACCTATTTGGTGGCCAGTTCTAATTCCGTTGCACATAACTTCGTTAACGTTTGCCACAAACTGTATGGATTGAAGCTAAGTATGTTAATCATTATTCGACTAACCAACTACTTGGATTACGTTTACTGAAGATATGTAAACCGAACTAATAATTCGTCAAATAACGTTTCCCTGGTGTTCTGGTGTGACCGCAGTGATCTGAAGCTATTCACAACTCAAATGTCTCACTATCCATTAATTGTGTATTTTTTTGAGGAATACTTTTAAATCTATTAAATTCTACGATTATTATTTGTGTGTATTTGTTTGTTTTAATTTGATTTTCGCTCAGTTCACGGGGATGTGAACAGCATTCCTCACCGTCTTCAAGTTCGCTGACAGATATAACTGCGGTGCCCAATGTTTCAGTGAATGGTCACCCTCGTGCTTCTTCATCCGGTCAACGAGAACATCACCATTATGAAATAGGAAGCAGTGGATGTTATTCGAAAGATGATTTGCATTCGGTATCAAATCGTCGTTTGAATCCCACTCATTCTGTATCAATACGGATGCTCGATCGACCTGATTTCCACCTAGCTATGTCTGGCAAAACGTGGGCGATCATACGAGAATATTATCCCTGGCTTATACCAAAGGTGAGTAATAATGGGATTATCAATGTATATCGATGGTAATTTTAAAGTGGACATGGTCGTTCGACTAATTCACTGAGTTGAACTCGTAGTGCTTAATGATCGTTAGTTAGGTGTTAAGTTCAAACCTCCTATCATTTGTGTAGAGAAATGTATTATTCACACAGCAGACGTGTTTTATGTAACTAAAATATTAGGTGGATTGATATGCAGAGATATCAAAATAATGTATGACCTATACACATGTTCAGCTTTGTGTACTTGTCGCTAGACAATGTTTAGACTTTTACTGTTTGAAATACTTCATCACTGTAACAGACTTGAGTGCTTAGTCTTTAATTTTGTGTACTTTCTTATGCAAAATACATTCAATGTACAACCAAAACAGTGTGATAACATAGTGTTGTGCACAAACACGTTTTGTGCTGTTTTACCGAAATAGAAAACACCCAATTTTCAATTTGATATCCACACATCTTACAGTGTGTACATAGTTACATTTACGTCAATGTAATACAGAGTATTTTTTTCAACAGTACTAAGTCAGTAATTAGCATACGTTTATGACGTGTTGACGTTTTGTTAACGCATCTAAAAGTAATTGTCCACTTGATGTTTGGTGGTTGGAGGTTGTCGATAAGAAAGTTTTGACCTGGGTTTCTTGCTAACTAACACTTGTCTGCGAAGTGCACCTGAGAGTACTGGTTCCCTATATAGGATTCGGATCGTCATGGATGGAATTTGGTCAATACTCAAAGGACTAGACAGACACGATATCGGTAACTAACCAATTATCAGCTAATTGTAATCTGTTCACTTGTAGTTATGAAAATACGGTATTTTTCACCGAAATTCGGGTCGGCGAAACGTCGTTGTATTTGATTAGTCCCACGATTTTCAGATCTATTTCATTTGTTCTAAACTGATCAGATCTCACCATGTCTCTCTGAATGATGATCTGGACTACCGAATGCTTGGTAAGGACAGCACAAGAAGTGAAATGATAGTCTTTTACTACACTTTTTTGTATACCTTTTCCTGTTTCTTTCGTGATTTATCCACCTTGCATTATATTTTTAGTTTCGAAGCATGAATATTTCAATGTTAATAGCACTGTTGTGTTTAGATTTGTTTCTAATTGTTTTCTCTCTTTTTTTCTTTCTCTGTGTGCGTTTCTCAGCTTGTAGTCAAGGGTACTGTGTTTGCTCGTTTTCGTCCGGAACAAAAAGCTCAACTGATTGAATCACTTCAATCAGTTGGTTATTTTGTTTCAATGTGTGGTGATGGCGCTAACGATTGTGGTGCATTGAAAGTAGCACATGCTGGAATTGCATTAAGCGAAGCTGAAGCCAGTGTTGCTAGTCCTTTCACATCGAAGCAACAAAATATTAGTTGTGTGCCTACACTTATTCGTGAAGGTCGTTGCGCGTTGACTACTAGTTTTGGTGCATTTAAATTTATGGTCGGTTATTCAATGATTCAATTTTTCTCTGTTATAATTTTATATTATGTAAGTTTGGTTTTGGTGTTTCTTTGAATTCTCAGTTTTTCTCGGTGCCAACAAGTGAAGTTAGCAAAACGTTTTGTAATTTTGGTGACCGGTTACAACATTATTGCTAATTTTTTTTATGCCGATATTTATCTGCATCATGCAGTAGTTAAATTAAGATCAAACAATTTTTTTGTTATTTAGATAATTAAGACTGATTTTTTCAATGAAATGCTGTTTGTCATTAGTTGTCTTATTTCAAAATAATCTGTCAGTGTTCTGTTTATTCATGACTGAAAATTTTTAACGCCAGTGATACTTTTATGCTTATATTTTCCTGTTTTGTTAATTTTCAGTTTTAATGTCCATTTCACAGTTAATTAGACTCAGCAATTATTGATTTGTGTGTGAGAGAGAGCATTTGCTGTCTCACGAGGATATGAACGTTTGTCATTACAATTATTCATCACTGCTCACATTTTACACTAAACCTGGCAATTCGCTACGTGTAAGCATTTCTAATGTGTAAGAAAATTCTTCACACAGTTTTGATTATCTGTATAACTTCCTTGTCAGTCGTTCAGAACATAACGAAATCTGACCATAGAATAAAACAGATTTTTACTTTCTGTGTCAAGCTAAGTGTTAGTTTTGTGTTTCGCAAGTTCACTACATTTGCAGTATACATACACATCCCAAATGCCTGGCCGATTCTATTTGCAAGTTAAAATTCTTAGAATGATTAGGAAGTTTTGATCATCATACCAAAGAATCTGCACAGCTTATTTATAAATTACTGGTTTACATAAATGATTTATGGGCTGTGACGTTGGTCAGGTGACTAAATCACTCCAAAGATGTGACTTATTTATACTTCTCACCTACCAGTTACCTTGACATGTGTAACCTGTCTTGTCTAGCTTGTCATTAGATCTCATTGCCTAACTTTCGTTCTTTGTATTCATTACCATTACTCATTGTTTGTTTATTAAGAAGGTATTTTGAGTTAAAACAATCCATCACTTATTGTAAATTACTTTATATATTGGGCTATTTACAATCTAATGAATATTGAATTAATCGGCTAATAATTTAACAATTATTTCATTTTGAAATGGCATCATTTTCTTAAACCCTAATACATTTAAAATTACACATTTTTATTTTCCAATACATTTCTCTTGTTGAGTTTTTTTTTATTTATTTCTCATTTTTGCCTTGTGAAGTCTATTTTTCTTTTTGTTTACTCACCACATCAACTTCATTTCATAAAACACATTATCCATGTGACTAGTAAATAATTTTTGTTTTTTTTTCTTCTTCAGAAAAACTGTTCCTCCCAATAAAATTTTAATGAATTTTCTTATTACCAACTTAGTAGTTTAGTGATTTGTTAGGTATTTTGCCAAAAGGTACCTAGTTTTACAAAATGGAATATATTTTTCTGTTTAGTTCAAACTCTTTTAAATTATTACGAAAATTAATTAAATCCTTTAAGTTCTTAATTAATAATTCTGGCATTCTAGATTCATTTGTTATTCTATAAATTAATTATTGGTTATTTGTTGAAATCATTTCTGTGTGTATGTAACTAAGGACTCAAATGTGTCTGAGCATTTTGAAGAAATTGAATGTGTGGTGAACTTTACTAAGATTTCCGGCTGCAACATGCTTTATTTTTCAGTGAAATACAATAAGGTATTTCATATACGGTAATATTGTCAGTTTTAATTTGGCCTTATTTCATTGGATGGTCTTTTTATGTTTGCAGTCGATGTACTTGTTAACATTTAGTCATTTGTAACTAAATTACGAAATACCATAGAACACGGGTTAAATTGTTAATGGTCGAATGTTGTATTATAAATATGACATTTATTTTAAACGAGAAGATGGATAATCTTTATTGATGTATAAAAATGTATATATATTGTCAAATCATGCGTTTATTGAAGCTAGACCACCATGGAAAACCGGGTCTAGCTTCAAATGACTCATGGTTTCAACTGTTGCAATTACTAAGATTTCCAAATACCCTTTCTGGTACATATATTGTGTTGATTCATTATTTTCCCATAGAAATGATCGAAACAGGTTTGATTGTTTTGATGATTAGTACCATTGCACCTAATATTTTTTAAGTATACTTTTATAATTTCACGTCAAATACTTGTGTGTAGTAATTGCAATTACTTTCTAGTCAAGCGTGTTTCTTCGTGGTAGAAATAGTAGAATTTTTATGGCATTAGTCCGAGTGAATTGGACAATTAAACAATGGAAGGAGTGGATACATAAAAGTTGCAAAACAAAATGTGTTTTTTCCTGGTAAAATCACATTATTAAGAGAAGTAAATAATAGGAAGAGCTCTATTATGTATTCCAGTTTCCTGCATTGATTATAATATGGAAGTATTTAAACTGAAACTCTACACACTTGATCTATGTTTAAAATCTCTATTTATTTATTTATTTCCATAACCACATTTGAGCATTATTTTCGTAGTTATAAATGAGCCAACAGATGATTGTTCATTTTCATTGATTATCTGCTTTGCTTCGATCATTACGTCAATATCACCATACTGTTTTGGCTGGAATGAAGTTTAGTTAGTAAATATGTGACTATACTGGGTAAATCGTTGATTGCTTACTAGGTGAATTCAGGTTGCCAGTTGTATATTGATTTGTTTTACACGTATTATATTGATTGGTATGTGAGTGACCTGCTGAAGTTATTCCTTCCAGTCGTATACGACTTGTAATTATGTTTTAAGTAGGAGCAATTTCATGACTTAGTGAATTAGTTCTATTTGTTATTTACTGGTATTTGGTTTTCAGACATCATGTTGTTAGATTAATTAGTGCCAAGTAGAACTTCGGCAGTTCTTATATCATAAATCCTTATCTACTGTTCTCGTGTTTTCACTTGTGTTGTGCGATTCACGGTTTCCTTGTAGTCGATATCGGTCTATCTCCAAAGATCATTTGTATGCAAAAGACTCAATCTATTTTGTGTATATTTATGGTGGTAATCGCACTAAACAGTTAGCCATGGGAGGGGTTCACGTGCATTTTGAATTCTTAATTAAATTGTATGTCAAGATTTTTTGGTTGAAAATTATGAGCGTCTACGGAAAGTATTTTAAGTTCATTGTACACTTCATATCACATATATTGCAACGGAAAATTCAATGATGTATCTGAAACGTTTATCTTGCTGTGTTGGTCAATCGCTCTAAAGGCCAGTTTCTGTAAGCAGCCATAACAAATGTTTAATTAGAATTTACTTACAGATGATTGGGTAGAGGTGTCAAACTCTGTTATCATTTATATCAAATGAATTCTTTTAGGACCATGAATCGGCATTTCGTATGGTTTTAAATCAGTCGTTGTGACCTACTTTCATAATTATAAACTTTAGTAGATGCTTTCTGTACTGATATATTGTATTATAATGTCAAATGACATGATGAATGGATTATAAAGAACGAATTCGTCACGTTGTCAACTTTCAAACTCTTTCTTTGTTATGTATCTTCAATACATCATATCATGTTCCATATTTCAAGCACAAATTTATGTACTGTTTGTGTAAGAGACGGTGATGCAACCAGGGTTCTCAAGTTGACGTGATGTAGTAGGATTCGAGCGAGCTATTAGTTGCTTGTAAGCCAAATTTTCTATCCGATAAAGTGCTGTCTACACATCACTGGAATTCGAAAAAAAGTGTGAGCGCTGGTGTAAGATCAATTGTTCTTATCTGGGAGTTGAATCAACGGTTGTTTTGAATACAATCGTAGTAGTAATAATAGCATTGATAGTGCTTACTGGGGAGAGTTCTCAACCACCAGTCAGATTCATTCGTTTTGTTATCTATTGATTGCTTCGTGAACACATTTCGAATCCGTTTGACGAATTCAAATAGATTGACGCTGATGGCAAACATCAGGAAGACTTGGGTTTCATTGCTGTATGATTATACACTTCCCTTCCAACTCAGTGTTTGACTGGTATATACCATGATTAATGTGTTGAATGAATTCATCAACCATGTGCCTGAATTATACCTGAATATACCTTGTATTGCACTATTATTATTATCATCCGCTTTATTCAATATTATATTTTTGGTACAATATAGAATTCTCAGCGCAAAGAATTTCAACAAGTTTCCGTTTCTTTCTTCTTGGTCGGTCCTGGCGATAAATATTGAGTGATCGCCAGTTAGATGTTAGCAGTTCAATAAATGAACATCTGAATAATGTACATTCTTTTCGTTGTGTATTGCCAGCAACCACATTGTCTCTTATTGAGTTTTTTGTAACTTTGACAACGAAAGGTTGTACACTTTTCAGAAACACAGCAGAATAGGTTATGCGATTAATAAACATAATGATAAATTAAAACAAACAAAAATAGATAACTTGTTAAAATATCTAGATGACGGGAACAGGTAGCCCAGATGCTCAAGCAGGCCTCCCTTTATTTGCATATTTATACTCATTTCAGATTGTAAATCAAGACAAATAATTTAAGTAGGTATTAATAGTGTTCAGTAGAATATTCACTCCTTTAGACGAATTATAATTGTAGACGTATTGTTTCATAAATCGAAAAATAATGTAATTTGTAGACGAAGCAAAATAATAAATTCCGATTACAAATTAAGCACTTGTTTTCTTTGATCATTTTGTTGTGGTTGGTAGTTGTAGTGGTACTTTTCTTACATTTTTTTGTTTTTTTTTCCATCTTTCTCACTAGATTGGCAGTAATATTTCTGACCTGCAATTTTTATTCATCGACCTTTTCCTTATCACAACTCTGGGTCTCACGTGTAAGTTGAGAAATTATTTCTTTATTTAGTGATTTTATTTTGGAAACTCTATTATTGAAAAGAATGATGAGATGATCAAGTGGTGTGTTTATATTTTGGCTCGTTTATTTTTATGACACTTCGTTGTATGTATTGAGTTATTATTATTGTTTTGATTTGGCAGTTTATATATTGGGATTGTCCTGTTCTCAGAAAAATAGTGCAATCATTTAAAAAGTCACTCACCATATTATTATTTTGCTTCCAAGTGTTTTCTGCTCTCTCCTTATGTTTGTTTATGGATAGTATGGTTGGATTCAAAAATGTAATTTAATTATTTACCAAATGTTTTCGTAGAATATATCGCGGATTGGTCTTAGTCAATGATTGGCAATTACCCACTGCAGGTAATGTAAAATAGTCTCGAGATATCGCGAATTGATACAAGTCAGACACCATTCGATGCCGGCTCCGAGGTTTATAGGTTAAGCGCTCTCAGCTTACACGAATGTCCTGGGTTCGGTCCTCCGTGGAGAGGAGTCATGGATGTTCACTGTCGATGGGTCTTATATTAGGACGAAAAAGCACCTCAATACCTCCTGGCTTTTAATGGTTGTCGAACTTAGATCAGTAAGTGATGAAAATTCAACACTCTTCACAATGAGTGATTACTAAATATGTTTTCATGTATTGTTTGTTAGATTGCATGAATATGCGCACATATATGCGTTGAAATAAAGCTAAGAAACAGTCAAACCACAACGTGACATCAGTTCCTGAAGCCATTGTTGGGCTGAGTTGTGTATTTAGGCGTGGATTGCCTCATTGAGTTCCTCTTGATCACCGTAATCATTTATTTGGAGACGTTTGATGTGTATGGGAATATTACACTTACATTCACTATTTATATTGCCTCAGATCTTAGGTTTTTAAATTATTTTTACTTTATTTCACAAATTTACTGTTCTTGAACCATATTTTTTAATAATTCGATTGAGACCGTTACTACTTCTTTTTCTTCTATGGGATTTCGTACTGTTGTAGTTTGGCAGCTTGATCCAGTGTACATATATCTCGGGTTCTACGTTTCATATGACTGATGAACAGTCAATTTAAACTCTCTTAAGTATGATGACCTTTTCTACTTACATATGATATGCAGTAAATAAGTCAGTCGTTTGAAACGAAGAAGTCACTTTGATAGCATAATATCCGACGTGCATATTTCACATAATATTTTACTCATTCTAAACTTTACTGTCACATAACCTAGAAACGTGTATTCACTTTATGATCAGAAATTTGTTGTAACCCTCTGATTTCGGTCTCATTGTAGACCAGCAAATTGTTTTTGGGTATTCATTTGGAAGTTTGGACTACAAAAATGGTGGCCGTTACATATAAACAATGGGCATACGTTGTTTTAAAAACCTTTTTCTACAGTATTATTTTCCTATTTCATTTTGGCTAGCTGATTAAGTAGCACAAAGTCTGATTATATCGTCTAAAAAGTTTTGTTTTATGCATTTTTCTAAAATGAGTGAGTTAGATGGTCGGAGTTAGTCTACAGGAATCCGTTGACCCGAGTTTCGTCCTATTTGGCACTCGTTAGAAAAGTGTATATGTGGTTTTGAGGGAACTAGTGCTATGTGGCAGATCCGACCTTGTCTCGGCCTACTTCACAGTCTAAGTCGTTACCACTAAAGTGTTCATGCCTCTAATGAAAACCTGTAAGACCGAGATAATAACAATTAAGTGATCACTGGGTGACAGTAGGAGCACCAATTCTCTCATGTTTGTACATACACCTTTTTTAATAGCATCAAGTGGCACTGAACGTAGGTTCAAGGTTTTCTGTTGACTACCTTCAACCACCTAAAATCTCAACATTGCCCATGCAATTCCAAGTTACTCAAATTATTTGGTACATCGTAACTTGATCGACAGAATTTGGTCAGAACGAAGAAACCAGATAAATATGATATCGGTCCTTTCCCAATCATCTTTTATGAAAAGATCATTTTTCTAATGGTAAACATATTGTATGGTGTTGCTGAATAATTGCTAGGTGCTCACTTTTATGTCGTATTTTGCTTTCATAAAGTTTACTCTCATTCTCCTGGACTACGTGACTTGGATTTAATTTTTTCGACTGAACTCATTTCTTTAGTGACGTTTTTGACATGTTTGATATTTGTGTGTCTCTGTTTTTGAAAGTACTTTTAATAATCTGTAATGCTGAATCTAAACTTCTTAGTCATATGTATTTATGCATATTTCTCCCTCAACACATACACCTAGTGTCATAATGACCTCGGTTAATTAATATTTACATTGTTACACTATTATTGATCAGTACTTTAGAACTCCGGTGTCCATTCCGTGAATGAACAGTTCCAACCCACTTCACATTAATAACATACTAACAATTACCTACATTGTTTGGATAATGGTGTACAGCTTGATGCTACATACTGTTTTTTTTTCAAGTACTTCATCATGGGAGCTATTTCTATCTATTATACATCTTTTGTTTTGATTAGTCTGAAATTCTCATCTTTAACCTAATGTACATGTGCAATTGTAAATTTCAGTCATTATGCTTTTTTGCCGCCAATTTTAATCACATTATTATCTTTCTTTTGTAACTACTAATCCACTCAACACGTGGCATCTCGTGATATTTACGCGAAGTATGTTTTCTAATTAGCATTCAAATTCTCATTTTCCATCTCTCAACATCTTTTTCAGGTTAATTTTTAGGATAAAGTGTTGTTTAGTGTCATTTACGTTTCATTCCTGCATTTAATATTTCACTACCACATTGTCTAAAAATGGTAGTGTTTCATCTTATTTCCTTCCTTATTTGGATTAGAGAATTTTCACCATTCAAAACTGGTAAGTTGACCTTCATCTACTTGTGGGTGGCCTTTGTCACTTACACATATCAGTTTAGACAGCTATGTGTACCAAGAAGAACCAAATAACTCTTCGTAATGTGGGATTCTTCATTAGTGCACACGTACAATCCTGTGTAGAATCAAACCTCACGACGTTCGGTTCTCTCGACAAACATTTAACCCTTATACCATTTGGATGGAACGGCTCAAATGTCCTGTTTACAACTTTTGTTGTTGTCGTTAGTGAGCGCTACTAAGTAGTTCTGTACTAAAATAGCAACTGTTCAATAACTCTTGATTTTAGTGATGCCTCAACCTGTGTAAATTCATGATGTTCACCACTCGAAAACGAAAGTCATCTTCATAGAACCTCTTAATCAAAAATACAAAATTTCTCAGTTAGATATCATCATTTTTCGAAGCCAATGAGACATTTCTAAATTGAGAACAAGTCTGCACTTTAAAATTGTATGTCGACAATACTTACTTTTGTTTGCCTATAAAATCTATCTTTGTAAATATATTAAAAGATTACTATCTCTATATATCTGTATCATCGAATTGCAATAGAATTTTGTACCAATTTGTGTGACTTGTCATAATATTTTACTCTGACTGAAAAAGTGAAGATAACTACATTATAGCTTAACATGAATTTGGATCCGTTTATTTTCTATACCTTGGAATGGCACAGTAGATTGGGGCTAATTTAAATATAAGGATTTTGCAATAAACTAAATAGACTTAGTTAAAATGGTAATATGTTGACTGAACGGGAAGAAATTTTCAAGATTATCAATTAGAAGTCAATATAGATAATGTCACTAGACATCACTGTTTTTACTTTCATTTTTGGGTAGTATCCATAAGCTTCTAAATAATTGTCTGATTTTGATCATGGTGTCTTCTGTAACACTTTTTAGTGTGCTTTTGAAGTCAGATACTGTCACAACATTATTTTGTTGGAACATCTGCTGAGGTTAAATGGGAAAAAGGTCGTGGTCAATGACGAATCCTAGTGTAAATCATAATTTTCACAGATGTCAGTAATCTTGGAATTTGTGTTGCCACACGATCGGACCTTTAAGATATCTAATTATCCTTTATTTGATATTCTAGAAACACATCCCTTACTTAATAATACAGTATAGTTTGATGGTCCATGTATACTATTACTGAAATATTAGGACTGTTTTAGTTTATCACTGCTACCCAGAGAAGAATCAGTGTAGCTGGTTTCATCGACTGTTGATGCCATTGTTTAGCGATGTAAATAGTATGGTTTAATTTCCTAATGTGTTCAGGCAATCTTAGATTGTTGGGTGATAATCTACAGTGATTTATGTACTATACTGGTTGTCTCCGTGTTTTTACATATTTTTCCAATGCGATACTTTATTCTGATCTACAATTAGATATTTCACATAAAGCCTCACGAATAGATGACCTTACTCGAACTATCGTACCTTATGTGAATAAGCAGATTGATTTATTTTTCCTTAATTTCACCTTAGTTTCTCTCTATCGATTCGGAAATCATTGAGATTTCACGACTAACACTAGGTTTCTTCAACAGAATTTCCCTCTTATCGAAAATAATCCCTGCAATGTATTCATGTTCTCAATAGCAGACATTATTTACTTATTGCGGTTGGGTTCATTTTATTTTTGAAATACAAGCTACATTAATATCTTTCATCGATACGTCACTAAATTCAATTGGATTTAAACGTGATCCTAAAATTGTATATGATTGTTAGTGTTCAGGTTGAACAACTACTCTGTTGTGATAGATCTCCTTGGAGTTCGTGTGGTAAATACAAATGTAATCACTTTCAACGGCATAATTTCTCTATACTGCAATACTGTTGAATGCTGTTCATGTTGGATTGTCGATTGTCCCGAGAAGTCGATTAAACACGTACAGCAGATATATTTTTACATGACTACCAGGTAACAGTAGCACGAATAAGACTGAAAGAGAACCGTGTCAAGTCAAGACATAGTTGCAAAACGAGAAAATCACTTATGTGACCTGATTGGTGTAGAACGTTTGTTTGCATGCAGAACGTCACGTTTCATGGAGCAGTTTTTTTCATGCAAGTGGTCTAGCCTAGATTATTTAAATGATACAATGGTCATTCTCCGTAATTTCACGAATATTGTTTATTGGTTATTTTTCCTCTAAAAAGATGTATTGGTTTTTTTTCATTAGTTGGTTATACTCCGGCGTATCCTCGTCTCTCGGTGGAACCTCCTGCGATGCGACTAGTGTCAACTGTGACCTTGTTATCATTGGGTTTGCAGTTACTCACTTGTGGTCTTGTACAATTTTCAGTCTTTGTGTTTACTCGACTACAACCATGGTTAGTGAATATGTTTCTAATGTTGTGATGTTTATCTGTAGCATCCGTTTGTATTGGTTGTTGCGTTGATATCTGTTTTAAGCACCTGTTAGTGCATTAACTTGATAATTGTAATCAAATCGATGTATTATATTGTTTCAAAAATTACTTAAGGAACATATAGACTGCTATTGTTTACTTATAATATCTTGTTAGCGATGATCCGCTAGGTAGTGTTAATGTGTGGACAGACTTCTATGGGTTGATTGAGCGGTCCTTTCATTCTAAAGCACGTTATCCCTCCATGCAACTCCTTTGATTAATATCATCATAATCCTTTATTTCATTGAAGGTATTTACCACTGTTTACTTATCATGAAGATTATGAATTAAAAAATTATGAAAGTACGGCCATATTCTCCGTATCTGTCTATCAATATATCATATTGGCTATTGTATTCTCTAAATCTGCACCATATCGTCGGTCAATTCTTTCTAATCGTAAGTTGTTTCTTTCTAATTATTGTCTTATATTGTCCAAATTATTATTATTATTTGTTTGACCTCTCATGATTGGATTGGTATTTTAACAATGAATTCGTTTTCTGACGACTGCCACCAGCTAATACGAAACCTAGGTTTAGTGTTTCCGGTTGATTGTTTGTAATACCAGAAGACAGTTTATGCAATGTCAATTCATTTAGACTAGATGCGAATTTCCAACTTAGTCGATATTGCACCACAACAATCACTGTTAATGGGAGTTCAGTTGTTTACGAAAATCTTCTTGAGGATCATAAGAAAAAAAAATTAAGAGATGATAATTGACTAAGACTATTGTATTTTCGTATAGATGATATGTTCATTTTGTTGTGATCTGATGTGTCAATCAGGACAGTCGTACTGGAATTGAAATGTGTGAAACTTTTGAATTGTAACTGTCTTGACTCATTAGCTCAGTGCATATCGGATTGAGCGTTTGAAGCGTAGGCATTGTGTTCGAGTCACAATGTGAAGATCAACACTGGGATGCAGGTATATCCAGTTGATGAGTGCCATGGAGGACGGAATGCGTGCTCTAAATTCCACTGTCAGCCACAATGCTCCTATTGTTTACAACCTTCATAATTTCTCCTTGTCTTTACTATTGATCAAGACAGACAACAGTATGGATTTCTCTTTTAATCACAATCATAATATGCGTATTGTTGCATGTAATACATGGTTATATTATGCATAAACTTCAAGAATTTCGCAGGGAGCGGGATCGTGGATGCGCACTGCTGAAGAGTCCCATAGTAGGACGAAACGGCCGTCCAGTGCTTCCAGGTTTCCAACGGTGGTCTAACATCAATTGATCCATGATCTCAACAATTAAAATTACTAAAATCTCCACAAAACCCCTTTCTGATATTAATTTTTTTTACCTTGGTTTTATTTAATGCGCAATCGTCATTTTCTCTATGACTTTCCAATTCCATAGATTTATTCGTTGTCAACCTTATTGCATGTATTGCCGGATCATTATACCTAACATCTCATCCAGCCCGTGTGGTTCGCAAATTATTCGAAGTAAGATTTCGGTGGAGGACGAAACACTGTGTTGGTTTTTATTAAATAACAATTTATTGAACATTCTACTTTTTAAACTATATGCATTCGCCGCGAGAACTGAAGTAATGGTCGTGGGTTAGATCCCTGGAGTGTTTTTGGGTACGCACTTTTGAGATGTATTCTACGTGGCTTAAACCGACTGTCCTGTGCTTCCTAGTTTTTAATGATACTCTAACCAAAATCGATCTAAGACGAATGCAATCTATAAAAGAAGTGATTTTTCTGTTTCATTGTTTTCATATATTTTTAGGTTACCACAGTTTTATTTTGTTATCCTTTTGTTTATTGTTATAAAGGTTTGTTTGTGTGTGTAGTGGTAGTTGTATTATTAATAGTAGCAACCACCACTTGGACATATTCATTTGGTACATATACATACTGAATAGAGAAATTCACATTGTTTCTATAGGAGAACAACTTTCCTTAATCTAGATTTCTACATTGTCCTTTGGATTGTACCAAAAATATAATATTGAATAAAGCTGATAATAATGATAATTTTCTGCATACATTGTTTCCGTCACAATACATTACTGTATTGTCATTAACATGACTATTATTGTTATAACCACGTCGTATTGGTTCAGTTTAGTCCGGTGGATGTTTAATGTAATTAGCCTCTATGAAAGGAAGTTTGACTGTGGTCTCCTCAAGAACTGGTACCACCTTTACTTGATTATATTAGTGTGTTTCTGCGAAAGCAGCACTATGATATGGTGTTCGTCTTCTAATTTGAATGTAAACGTTGTACCGGCTAATATCTTTTTGTGATGTTGGATATTGATTATTTTTGAAGTTTTCGTCACTTCAAGATACCTGTTGGAAATAACTGACAAATGTTCTTCTGCAGTAGACTCTTCTGAAAAACATTTCATAAAAGAGTTGGACAATTTTCTGAATGTTTATTTACATTTCTGACAGACTCTTTAGATTGTATGTGATGTTATTGGTTTTTATATTTTATTTCCAGCTGTGTCGTTTCCCTTCAGTTTATTTTGTAATAATTCTTCATGGAATAGTATTAGGGAATTTACTATTTGGATATATTTTGGAATCGATCGTTGATGGCGTTTCATTTCGACAACGAATACGTCATATTCAACATGCTTTATTTCCCAGGTATGTCTGCCTAGAATACATTCCATTTTGTTCAGTACTGGTTGATTTCTTCCATACATTTAATGAAATGCTTTAACTACTGAAATGCAGATTATTTTATCGGTAATTAGTAGTATGATATTTATTAAGTCAACAATACGACTTGAGGCAATTGGTCCCGTTTATCAATTTCAGTAGAACGCTAAGAAGACAGAGTTCGAAATAATATAGTGCAAATGCATCACATTGTTTCACCCTTAAGCGCCTGTCCTGGAGGCCAATTTGACGGCGATTGGTCTCACAACCATACAATGTTTTACCTAGTATTGCTCGTCTAATTAGCCGAATGTTCATATCATTCACTTTTCACACTTCAAAGTCGGTAACAGTTGCCATATAATAAGCATTTTCAGCAAAATGATATGTTCTGTCGACTAGTTGGATAGTACAAGAATTGTACCGGTTGTTTAATTAGTTAAACCTTTTGAAAATCCTTGTTTGTTATGTGTGTTAAACAAATACTTGGGATTGTTCTTCTCTAATTGTTATCCAATAGACATGTTTCACGTAAAGACTATGAACACATTCGTGATGAAATAGATAGATTAGCTGGAGTGTGGCCACCAATTATACGATCTGCTAGTGTACAAGCGTTACCAAGAGAGCTGTTCAATGAAAGTGATGTTGTTGGACAAACTGTACAAACATCAAGAAAACGCTATAATTCAAGACTTTCAACTGACAGTGAATCTGATGAGGATTGTATCCCAGTTACTTCTGAGGAGAAGGCTGTCCTGTGTAATAGTTTACGTGATAATAATATTATTCATCAACAAGTACAATTACATTACAATGCTCAATCTCCATTTCAACCGTCTTGTGTTTTTGATACTATGCCGAAAAGTGCGATCGAAAAGTCATTTAACAAGAAACGGACACGTTCTACTGTAAGTTTACCACGTTACATTGCCTATTTTCTTCATATAGTATTCACTGTAATTTTGTGGGGTGGTGGATAAGTGGTTCAGGTGTTCAACTTTCAACCACTATGTTTTATGTCTGAGTCTCGCTCCATATCAGTCAGTCAGTCAATCAGTAACAACGTAGAACTTCGTACGTACGTACATCAGTTCGAGTTGCCACACCACATTAGCACAGAGATGCAGTTGTCGATTCAAATCCCATAGTGGTAGAGGAAGCAAGAGTATAAGCAGTAATAGGGAAGATTAGGGTTTGGAGATGTTATTTAAAGAGTATAATCCAGTGAAATAAATTTGGAAAGAGGAAAAAAGGGACATGAAGAATTCAGAAGATTAGAATTTGGGAGAACACAAAGAGTGGATGCACCTGCGCCATTGCAAACGATTTTGAGCCATGTCATTCAGGGTCTCTAACCATCGGTTGCTGTCATCTCGCGGTCCCCAACCAGGTAGTCTACACCTACCAACATGACTCAGTTCACTTGTCAGTGACTTCATGGACTTGTGCCATGTTTTGGTTTGGCCGCCCCTAGCTTTCTTCCAACCTACTCCTATACCACTGAACATAGCACGTCGAAGCAGTCGGTCGTTGGGCATACGTAACACGTGTCCCAGCCATCTCAACTGATGAAGTTTCACTACTTCATCAATTGATTTGCCATCCTTACCTAGTACCCGTTTCGTAACAACTGTGTTACTTACTCGATGGTCCCATGATATACGAGCTATGTTTCGAAGACACCTATGATCGAATACTAGTAACCTACGGATATCCTCTACTCTTACCGGCCATGTTTCACTGCCATAAAGTAGGACGGAACGAATTGCTGCGCAGTAAACACGTCCTTTGGTTGATAGACGGATATCTCGCCTACGCCATAAATGACGCAAGTTGGCAAAAGCTAGTCGAGCCTTCTGTATCCGTGCTGAGATTTCGTCACACACTAAACCACAAGGGCTGATGAGACTTCCAAGATAAGTGAAGCGGTCGACACACTCAACTACTTCACTCCCTATCACTAGTTCGGGTGTCGATGTAACCCAATCCTGAAGCAACATTATGCATTTCGAGGGAGAGAATCGCATCCCGAACATGCTTGCATTGTTGCTTAGAGTGGTCATAAGACTGCATTTTGTCAGCGTCTTCACCAAATAAAACTGTCATCAGCATATTCTAAGTCAACAAGTGAACCTCCCGGTACAAGTTCAACCCCTGGAAATCTAGACGAGGAAAGTGTTATCTCTAAAAGTACGTCGACGACAAAGTTGAACAACAATGGAGAGCGTGGACAGCCCTGACGAACACCACTTGAGGTAATCAATTCTGATGACAGTTCACCATAAGCTCTCACTCTACCAGTTGTGTTCGAGTAGAGAGCCTTTATAAGGTTAATGTACTTCTTTGGTACTCCTTCCAGTGACAAACACTGCCATAGAACCTCACGATCAACAGAGTCGAATGCCGCCTTAAGGTCGAGAAATACTACCATTGTGGGGCGTCTGAATGTGTGTCTGTTTTCTAGAACCTGACGTAGTGTGAATATGTGGTCTATACAACCACGTCCAGGTCGAAAACCGGCCTGATTTTCTCTAGTCTGCTCTTCACGAGCTTTGGTTAGGCGTCGAAGTATTGTTGAAGCTAATATTTTAGACACTATATTAGTCAAACTGATCCCTCTGTGATTGTCACAAGAGGACTTTTGTCCTTTCTTATAGACTGGCACAATTAGTGATTGAGACCAGTCAGATGGGATTACGTCCAGTTCCCAAATTCTACCTAAGACCTCGGTTAATCTCATTGCTAATACTGGACCACCATCCTTAAAAATCTCAGGAGTAAACCTGTCAGGGCCTGCTGCTCTCCCTCGTTTCAGATTTCCTATGGCTTTTTCAACTTCATAAAGAGTCGGAGGACCTACACTAACTTGCCATTCAGGTTGACTGGAGATCGTGAGAAACCGAAGTGTGGCTGAAGGCCAGTTGAACTGATCCCTAAAGTGTTCTGCCCATCGATCCAATCTCCTGGATTGAGAATGTATAATATGTCCATCTTTCTCTGAGATTGTTTCGCTAACGGTTGGGTTCCTAATTCCAGTTTCCTTAACGAGTCTGAACAATTGTCTGCTATTACCTATTGCCGCTGCCTTTTCCATCTCTCTTGCTTTCGCTACCCACCACTGTTCACGATCATTGCGTAGACTTCTTGTCAGCTTGCGCTTAAGCTGACTCCGCTTTTGGTTATGTTCAGAGCCAGGTGGAATGAGTTTCCGAGCATCTATCAGTGCGATAGATGCTGCTGAGATCCAGTGTTTCTCCCTAACCTTACGGGTTACCGTACTGCTGTTTCCACAGCTTTTCGGATATCATTCCATGCTGCCTCGGGGTGGGCATCACATACATGGCTGCCTAACTGTTTTCCTAGTTGTTCCTGAAATATACTCTTAGCTTGACTATCATTAAGTAGGGCCCTAAGAGGTTTCCATGCAGCGTCTTTCCTACGTCCAGTAAGACGCAAGCAAATACGCGCTCGCACTAGAGCATGATCTGAATCTAGGCATGTGCTCCAGAATGAGTGACAGTCTTCTATCGAGCCCCTCCATCGGTGGCTGATAGCTATGTGATCTATTTAGGTCCAACGTTGGGACGAATTAGGGGGTCGCCATGTTAAAAGATGTTTTTCCTTATGCTTAAAGTTAGTATTTGCAAGGAACAGGCGGTTATCTGGGCATAGCTGCAACAGACGGTCGCCATTATCTGTTCTTTGAGCCACGACACCATAAGATCCACCTAGGTGTCTTCCCCTATAGCTTAGTTTACCTACTTGAGCATTAAAGTCACCGGCCATTATTACTACATATGGGTAAGGTTGAGGAGCCGGGTGATGTCATTAGTCTCCACACAGAATGTGACTCAAAACTGAGTACACGAATGTATTCTTTGGTGAGTTACACCGTCAATAAACTGTAATTGGTTGTTGATTCATTCAATATCAGTCCTTGTTCTGACTTCGCTGTTTTTCACTGTGAATAGATACCTTTAGAATTGTACCTTCTGTTTAAGAATATTGTTGGTGAGTCACACAGATATCATGTTTTGTATTACAAGCAATCACCAACATCTTTAATGCTCTTAAGAATACTTTCTCAACTAGTGTATGAGAATCAAGAGTTCCTCGACTTGTCTTCTCTTTTCTAGTTGGCCTTTTGAAGATATTGACATTTCCATCCAGAAAAACACAAGCTTATTGACACCACAATTCATAGGTATTCTGACAATTCCTTTAATACAACTGTATGGTTGGTCTATGAATGCTCTGTTAGGATTATGGTTTGCTATAGTCAGATTATCCGTGTACTATCTGCGGCCATGTCTTTTGTATGCTACTCCGTTGAAACATTTTACATTTTATGTTCTCAATATGGTAGTTACTTCTTTGTGCCAGAAATTATTTATGTGTAGAAAACTGGGGGAAATCTTAATACAGCAAAATCTACTTTTAAGAAATATCCCAAATTATCACGTAATTATAAAATAGATAAGTAGGATGTCAGTTGACGCTTGTGACCGAAGAGATTTAGTTGTGTAAGTGAATTAAAGGCAACCCAACGGGAATATGAACTATGCGGTTTGGAATTGATGCGCTATTTGTACTCAAAACTGTATTTCCACTTGCTGTCACTGATGGTGTTTTCACACCTGGTCGCGACAATTTGGATCTGATATGCTTGAATGCTATTACGAGTTCACCTGACTCGGTAAACCGAACGAAAGTCAAAGATACATTTAGACGATAAGCTATTTTAATCCGTTTTCCCCGACCCTGCTAACTAGATCAAGAAGTCTTGATGAGACGTAGAGAATGTATTCTACATGCAATGAGAAAATACGAGGTCACTAAGCACACAAACCAAGCTTATTTATACAATGATATAAATGCCCTTGGAGAGCCACAAAGTAGCGTACTAAAAACATCCGTCAACCAATGACAGTCAAGGATTTCCGAGTGGGAAATGTGAGCTGTATGTCAACTAAATGTCTCTTGGCGCGAAAACAGATTCAAATGTTCAGAATAAAATTACAAAATTAGGACTTTTTCCAAGTGAGTTCTAGGGATCTAACGTCCTCTATAGGGTCATTGGTGAACATCCGGTTTTGCGAAACTCGTCACTCCATATCAAATTCCTTGAACATGAGAGAGCGTTTGACAGTGTAGATAGGAGAAACTTATTCTTCACTATGGTGTGCCTGAGATCAAGGAGCACATTGCGTGGGGGAATTGGAGACAGATATCAAAAAAGTGAATAGGACGTGAAAACCATTGGAAAGAAGAGCCGAGGAATATCGTGGTCGGCGGTATGTCACTATGAGGATTAGTATGTGTAAGACCATCAAAGTCATGGATTTGTCACTACAAAATTATTGGAAAAGTAAGTACGTACAGTGGTTTTGATCTACCTAAGTAGAATGTTTTATCAACAGTCAACTTCGATTGGGTTCTTTGTCAGTTCTCCTAGGAAGGCCTCAAATTGTCTATTATCATACTAATCGTGTGTATTTTCGGAATGTATACTTGTAAATTCAATGGATTGTGTGGCATTTGTATTTGTCGAATGGCCATGCGATTTACTTTTATTCATGATAAAATATAGTTTTGTGATTTGCTTTTAATTGTCTCATTTTAGAGCACCCATAATCGCCATTCATTTAACACTACGAGAAGCCTTGATAGCAAAGGTATCAAACGCAATACTTCTAAGGAAAACAGTCCTAGACAACAAACGCCTGTAGTTCGGACTCCGACTCGACGAGCTGAACGTATTCGATCACAGAGTGGACCGAAACCACTTAGTCCTGTCAACCTTCAGTCGGACCCATTCCAATCAGCTACCTACCACTGAAAGGATAAGTTTGTCGGGAGATCACACGTTGTTAGTCTTTCGATGTATAATATTTACTGTTATCATCAGCAGACGATTTCAAATCAATAACTGTATTTTCTCCTAAATCGCTGTGCACAATATGAATTGCTTTTTTCTCCTGTCCCTAATTCGGATGGTTCATTTTCTTTTAACTCTTACGTTAACCTGTGAAAATCTTCCTGTCAGATCACGCTTTGTCTCTCTCTGTTATATTAGCAAGAATAGTAACCAGAAACATATGTAATTCATCCATCTCAATTTTCATTCTTATTCATTATCGCTTTACTGAATAGAGCAGAACTATCAGTTTTAGACAGAAAACAAAAGATCTTTCATTGTCGATAATCTTCTCGTTTACGAATGTTGTTTTCATTTTTTTTTCACGACACTTGCGGTCTATCAGTAATCCCATTACTATATTATCCGCTCACTCTAGAGAAAACCAACTGTCTAATTGAGTAGACCGTACTATCGCGTATTTTGTGATTTATGACTCGAATAGGTAAGAAATATCTCAATTCTGTTTAACTCATGATTCCTATGAATTACCATTTTGTGTATTTCGTAAGCATCAAGTGAACTAAAAGTGGAACAGACTGACTGACGAGAGGGTTCAAGGAATTCATAGTTTTCCCCCCTTACTATGTGATCTTGCAAATTATCTAATGTGTTTTATGCCATTTTATTTTTTATTTCCATGTGTATGTTACGTTCAGTTGTTAAAATTTTTTTCTTTCGTCTATAAAATCGAAGTGATATTTTTCTCTGAGCACGAATGTGATGATACATTGTTCATAATCATAAACAATATTTAATTTGATTGTTTTAGTATAATTAGTAGTGCTATTATTTTTCTACGTGATGAGTTGTAGGATTCAGTAGTATTTCTGATTCGAAAGAAACAGGTAATGATAATCCGAGTGTGTTTCAATGAATTGTGCATGCAACTCACATTTATTGCTAATAGTTAAGTCTTAACGAAATTCTCGTCACACCTGACCTCTACCGACTACTTAGTCGTTTCAATGGTATTTTCGTGGGACTTTTCGACCTTTTAAATAAACAAATGCACCGTTGTAAACTAAAAGTCGTGGTTTAGCCTTCATGTTAATATTTATTTAGGTACGGCACGGCTCCGAAAAATGCATCACACAAAGGAAGCGATATTGTGTAGAAATAAACGAGGGTAAGGTTGTACAATCGATAAATAATTATGGATAATGCGGTCAGAGTACAAAGGTTATCAGAATTACGTCCCTTCAATACATTTCGAACACCCTGATCACATATATGCTTGTTAATTAAGTCAGTCAGCTACAACGTAGGACCAGGCACACATATGCATCGGTCCAAGTTGCCACACCTCAGCACTTGTTAGGACATTGTACGAAAAAGTCAAAGCGACTAATTGTTTCCATTATTAAATGAACAGAAACAGTATTCAGTAAGGGATACAGTTCAGTTGAAAATTGACAAAGCGACCAAAGATTAAACCTGACAGTCAGGGCTGCACATCTCAAACCACTGCATTGCACAATCTCGAGAGCTCTAAGTGGAGAGTAGTGATGAGATGACTGATCATGATCTTATACACCCATTACTTTTTCATCTACAATCTCACAACTTCGTTTCTCTTGAGTACGAATGAACAGGAAACAATAGTCATCCAGGATAGAATCTTCGATACCGTCATTGCTCAGTAGGGTTGAAAAATGCATCTTTTTTCTCGTACTATGGTCCCACCCACTAATGCCCTGGGTCGACCGATGATGAGTCCGCTCTCACATGGCCGCGCGTATACAGCCACTGCCAGGGAAGTCCTGCTTACTGCTTCGCGGCATGGGTGTTGCTTACAAAATTAAGAGGATGAAAAGTCAATGTTCGGCGCTTTAACCGGGTTAATGGATACGGAGAATCCGTCTGGGGGATTTGTGGAACCCTGATTTGAAACCTGTGGTGCACATAGACTCCAGGATCCCTGGACGAAAACTGGCGTATGAAACTATTTTGGATCACCGGCGACCGTTGGACCGTGTCCTGACGTTTCCCTACTGCCCTGTGGATTAGACCTCTAGGTCAAAGGCTCGGGGAGTGACTTCCTGGGAAAACCACCTGCTTCGGTTTGGGCGCCCGGACAATATTCCAGCCCTTACACAAGTCGAGTGACGAAGTGTGGGATATATACATCCGGTGCCTCCTTGCACCAATGTTTGTGTTTACATAAATAAATAGAAACCACTTAATATTTACAATCAGGTATTGTGATTATCACGTCAAATGTATCCAGGGTATCTAGACCTAAGTTATAAGCTTTTACCAGTTAGGTGAAGTTGATCCAGACCCTACCTTATATCTCGGTCAATATTACTAACTGTTGAAGTGTCATCTAAAATTATCAGTCCGACCTTCCTGTTACCTCTCTCTTGGTTAGTCTTCAGATTGTTGATGGGCAGTGAAAAATTGAAGTAGATGGAAGTCAATTGAGCTATTACTTAATTTATCTCTAATTAACAAAGTCCCTTTATCTCAGTGCATTACTGAATCGTCTTTCTTAATCTCTTTACTAACAACTGATACCCGAAGTCTTAGCTATATGATGAGTATGAACAACTGTTTAATATTAGCTATAAACCCAATCTTTCCAACTATATCACTTTCATCGCACAGCATAATTGTACAGCAGCTGCCAGTCCATGTATAAATCGCATCAACTCATCGTGTTTAAAACCTGCCGAAATATATTTTAAAGCATCCACTTAGTCACTAAAGGCTTCCAGAGTGGACTGAACCGCTTTAACCCTGCAGTTTTTGTTGCTAACGGACATCAGTACTGGTATTATATCCGTTTTCAGATTTAAAACTATTGCAATGACCAAATAAACTCGTCTATTCATTACAAGTTTGTGTACTAATCTTTGAGACACAGATTTCCTATAAAGAATTATGATGCTGGACTGGATAAATCGAAGTACATGGAATGAGTTTCCGACCTGCAGAACATTAGATGATAATCCAGAGCCTTAACTACTATGTCGTACCTGAACACACTATGAAAAAGTTATGATAAAGATATCATAGAAAATATAATTCATTGAGAATCGCATCTGATAAAATAATGAAAACATACTTTTTGTCGAAAGAATATCACAACGGCTTTTAAGATTGTTCTGAGAAATAGTAGACTGTATATCAAATTACATGATTCGAAAGCACGGTAAAAAAGAACTATCTACATTGATTTGATGATCAGCAAAATAGAAAAGAAAATATGAAAGCACGCAAACGAAGCCAACTAAATATTGAGTTATTCATTGGACTGCTTGAGGTCGACCTATTTCACTTCTTCCTTTCAATTTTGAGCTTTTTTAAATCGTCCAAAACTCTCTCAACCTAGCAAAGAATTGATAGAAAAAGCGTCAAAATAAGTACGATCGCTCACTTACCTTTCGGAAAATATGAAACCGCGGATCAAACATTAGATTAAAGCTCATAAGTTGTTTAGGTCCAAGGATGTGCATGTGTAAATGATGGACACTATTGAATGGTGGCCAATGAAATCCAAACCTACAACTTATTTGATATCAAATGATAATTTACAAGAAATCGTCTGGGTCCAATTTCAATTGACTAATGAGATAATTCTTTCCGCAATTCATCATATCCATAACTGATTTACATGAAGCAAAGCCAGAGTTTACCTAGTGGTATATCTTCATAGGTCAAATATTTAGCGTTCCTTATGTGCTTTTTAGGAACACATTGGAAGTGATACTGAGCTTTCGGTAGGTGATCATGAAATATCACTAAATCATTGGTCTTTCATAAGTGTTCGGAAAAATTATTGATTAACAAGAACAATCAAAACTTACTTCGAAACAGATTGTTTGATTTGTCTTTCCGTAAGCAATGGAGCAAAAAATACAGCCATCTTTTGGTGTTAGCATAGATTTTCCTTTCGTCTATGAAAGTTTCAAGGCGAAATGTTTTTATATCTCAGTATATTTAGTAGAAAAAAAACAGTGTCCTAATAAAATATTGTCCAGAGAATTGTGCATTAACTGACGATTGAATGGAAAGGGTATTACAGGTAACGGACTGATATCCTACTTTCACTAGTTCTCTTTGAGCATTTCAGTAGAATAGGCTATCATACAAAAAGTACGGCTCAAAGACGAACGAATAAACCTATACCTATTGGTGAATAGATAACAGTAAGAAATCATAAAATACTTTCGGTTTGACATTTCTAAACGTGTCAATATGTTTTAAATAAAATGAATAGTCACTATGAGTATTATTTATTTATTTGAACACATAAATATTGGTATAAAGGGGCACCAAATATATATGCGCCACACAAAACCATGGGAATTTGAAGAGGAGAAGGAAAAAGGTGAGGAGTGTCAAAAAAGAGCAATAACGAACAAAATAAGGTAAGGTAGCGTAGTAATAATGGGGGAAACGAAAAGGCACAATCAGAAGAAATCACTTTTTATGAAGAAAATAAAAGAAGGTTACAGCAGGATCGCCACTGGCTTCTATTCTGAGCCATATCTGATAAGGTCTCTAGCCACTGTGTAGCACCATCTCTCGGACCCCAGCCAGGGAGTCGTGAGGGATCAACACAAGCCAGCCCTTTGCAGATTTCTTTCATTCCACGACACCATGTTATGCACTGACCACCTCTCCGCCTCTTCCAACCAGTTCCAGAGTCGGCAAATAATGCACGACGTGGAATTCTCTGGGACGACATTCGTAGAACATGTCCAAGCCACCGAAGTCGGTGGTGACACTAAGATGGTGACACTAATTGCATTATCATCTCTGTACCCGAACACGCGATGCCGAACCTCTGCATTACTAACATGGTGTTGCCACTGGATGTCAGCGATCCTTCGGAGGCAACGATGATCAAACACAGAGAGTCGTCTAACATCCTCAACTCGGAGAGGCCAGGTTTCACAAGCATAGAGCAAAACTGCTCTCATCGACGCGTTGTAGATCCGATCTTTTACAGCCAGACTAACATCACGAAGGCGCCAGAGGTGGCCCAGATTGGCATAAGCCGCTCTGGCTTTCACCATACGTGCATTGATCTCACCACTCACACCCCCACCAGCACTTATGCAGCTACCTAGATACACGAACTTACCGACTACTTCTATCTGCTCACCATCCAGGATGAGTACAGGATTGGAATCCTGCTAGTCTTGTAGAAGTACTTTGCACTTCGAAGGTGCAAAGCACATACCATACCTACGGGCACTGATTGTCAACTGATTAAGTGCGGATTGCATGCCTTGGGCATTATCGCACAGTAAGACAATATCGTCCGCATACTCAAAATCGAAAAGTTTCTCCAGGCAACATCCACACCACCATTATTTACATCCTCGCGAGTCAACCGTTCTCGGGTTTTGAACAACCTACAAAGTATGACGGAAGCAATAGCTTGGACGCAATCGGAAGTAGACTTATCCCCCGATAGTTGTTTCAGGGACGACGTGAACCCTTTTTAAAGATAGGGACAACTAGCGACTCATTCCATGACGTTGGTACACTCTCTAGTTCCCAAACCTTTGTAAACAACATCGTCAATTCCTTAGTCAGAAAGTCACCACCATCTTTAAAAAGAGCCGGAGGTAAGTCATCTGGGCCAGGTGATTTGTAGCGCTTCAAGAGTTGGAGTTCCTTGCGGACTTCCGCCTCATTTGGTGGATCAGTCGTCACCGGCCATGGAGGGCAGGACAGTCTGACCGATGTTGCCGGAGCAGCAGGCCAGTTGAACTGCCCTTCGCGAACCTACATCTGACTGTACCCTCCATTTTTATGGCGTCATGTAATTGCAACCAATGGCAGCTAGCTTAGAAGCTAGCTCGGTTTGATACTTATTTGCAACAGATGTTGCATCCAGCTTGCTAACATCAATCCGTTGATGGCGGTCACTTCGTTGGCCACTGAAAAGTAAAGTAAGATTGGCGCAGACCAAGGCATGGTCAGAGTCCAGATAGGTACTCCAAAAGGAGCGGCAGCCTTGTACACAACCACGCCAGCGGTAGCTGATCGCGATGTGATCAATCTGAGTCCATGCTTGGGATGCAGAGGGAGGACGCCAGGTGGCACATCGGCGATGACTGTGCCGAAAGTTAGTGCTAGCCAGAAACAGGTTGTAGTCTGTGCACAGTTACAGTAGACGGTCTCTGTTATCTGTCCTGCGACCAGCAAGTCCCCATAGGCCGCCCAAACGATTCTCTTCTGTGTCTAGACGCCCGACTTGAGCATTCAAGTCTCCGGCTAGTACTACAATATCTGTCGAACGCACTTTCTGGAGAAGAACAGATAATTGGTGGTAGAATTCATACTTGATTGCATCCAGGCTGCAATCTGCCGAGGCATAGGCGGAGATGACGACAAGACATCGTTTCTCACGCCGATTTCTTCTCACTTTGATGGAACTTTCTAATCTAACAGCACATAACTGACTGTTAATGGGGATCGAGTCGATTAGTGCTGCCTCAGCTCTAGCGCTTAGTGCGACACCAACGCCAGCAAGACCAGACGAAGATGCCACAGGGTCCTCAGATAAACGCACGTAAAACAGGTTTTTTGAAGCGACAGATGTAGAGCGAACTTGTAGTACTTCATCAGAGTGTTGTATACGGGTCTCGGATAGACAACAAACATCGATATTAAGGATTTCCAAAGACATAGCCAGCCCTATCTGTTGTCCGACGTGCATAAGTGTGCGAACGTTGAAGGCAGCCAGTTTGAATGGTGCACGTGGTTTCAGAAAAACTGCTTCAGTATTCGTATTTGGTGGCAGCATACAATTTCCAACCAGGTAGTGACTCAAGAACGTTTAGATAGGGCCGAATTTCCACCACAGGCGAGCTGCTGTATAAGTCGAAAAATAAGTATACACAGTGGGAATAAATGAGGGTGAATAAATGGCGTAGTGAATAATAATAACAATAATGATAATAATAATAATAATAATAATAATAATGTGAGTCATTTGATTGTTATTCGGAGCAGGAAGAATATCATCCATAAATAGACAGTTCATTTTTAGTGTGTGGGCTGTGATACTGCCCAGGTACCCAAACCGAAGCAGGTGGTTTTCTAAGGGGACCACACCCCGAGCCTTTGACCTAAAGGTCTGATCCACAAGGCAGTGGAGCATAGTAAGGAGATGCAGTCCCGTGGTAGCCGGTGACCAAGAAATTGGTTTATACGCCATTTGTTCCCACAGGATACTGGAACCCATGTGCACCATTGGTTTGAGATCCAGTTAAAGCGCCGGACATTCGCTTTTCGTCCTCTCATTTTCGTAAACAACACCCTCGTCACGAGAAGGTAGTGAGTAGGACTTCCCTGACAGAGGCTGTATACGCGTGGCCGCGTGAGAGTATTTCGAGAGGGAGGGCGAGCCCACCCTGCTCTCGGCCATACCAGGTCATTTGAAGAGATCTATCCGCCATGAGATGTTAAAACTGAACTATATTTAATTCATCTATTACCGTAATTCCAAACAACTCATCACACAATAACTAGTTTTCAGACTAGGGCACCAGTGACAAAATTATCGTGCATACATTTTACTTGCACAGGATTTTTAATCATAGAGGCTGTGAACCTAAAATCCACTTTGGCATAAGCATTTTGGTACGCTTATCTAGCCGAAATACATCACAATATGATCAGGAAGAAGCACAAACGTAACTCACTAGTTTACATATTTTTCAATTAAAGCAGAGATTCTAATGGTATTGTAGAATTTATGCATACACAAAACCATCGATTGGTGAATGTCGTCTACTATGGTCCAAATTTTTAAATTCGACGACAGCTGTTAAATGAACCGTGCATAACACTATAATTTTGATAGTCTTTGAATCAGTGGCAGACCAGTACTTGTTTCAGCTGCGTAGTTATTTCGTAGTGCTAACAAAACCTCATCCATAGTCTTGCCTTCTAAGATCAAGCTATATCACTAATTGTTCAGCTATTCAGAAAGTGACTATTTGAGTCCGCAGTTATAACAAGTACTCATAAGTGTTTCGTTAAAATACAAAACTATACATACAATTGATATGATACATTTATTCTTACATTATTTTCCATGGTTCATTATCCCACTTTCACGATAAGAACGATCTTACCACGCTACCAAAAGTGACCGTGAACTTTTTACACTTGGAGCCAAGTGCAGCAAACGAATGTTGATTTGGCATATATATTGTCCTGTCAAAAGACAGGAACAGTTACTTCTTGAGGCACTGTGGTGTTTGTATGAACTGTCGATTCCTTTGTACTTGTTGAATGCTTGGTTTTGAATTCCAAATACAGTACATTCGTTTGTGCTTATCTAGTACTTCATTATTCAGTGGCGCTATTTCTGGGATTCCCAGTTTGTACTATGATTCAGATACCCCTAATTATCATAGGCACCCAACAGTTTGTAATTCATTCCAGTACGCAACAACCCCAAGCAACCAATATAGGAGAGATTAGGGCGAACTTTGTAGGAGTTTCCTAAAAACAGCAGTGCGAATTAAGCGACAAAGCGTTTAGTTGTGGGTTTTCTTCTTGCCACTGAGAGGAGAGAGTCTGAAGACTAGTACCTGAACATTTCCCAAAATTGCTACTGAATTTATTCCCGCCCATTAGAGATTCGATCAGATATGACTTACGAAGCTCCTCGTTTCTCTTGAATCTAATCTTCACACATGGTAATGATGTCAGTTAAATAACTTTCCTCCTATCTCTAGGAATAGGTGATCGTGCAGTCGTTAAACCCAAGTTGGTGGCTGAGATGGTCTGTCAAACAGTTACGTACACCCGTACCAACATATGGAAGGCAGATACGAAGGCAATCAACTCTGCAGCATAGACTGGAGACTGGATAATTGACTCAGGGGCATCAGTAGAAGAGGCATGGACTCATTTCTGGCAGTTATAGAATCAGGTGGCTCAACCATTTATACCCTGGACAGTCGCAAAGAAGAAGAGTAACGGCCATTCCTGGATGGGGATATTCGACGATTTCCAAGACAAAACAAATTTTAGAATGTTACTACCAGCCGTGGCAAAAGAAGTACAATGGAACGCCACAGGTCGGTAAGAAATAAGTGCATGATTACAATTCAGAAAGCAGCAAAAAAGTACATTCAGCCCAGTTTGTAATCAAGCAGCCTATGAGACTATACTTGTACACAATTTACAGAACAAGAAAGCAGCATCGGATACCCAACCTAATTTCAGAAGTGAGTGAATCTGAAGTTATAGAGGGTAATCAGGAAAATACAGAGGCCGTGGCAAACTATTCTGTTGCAGTTTTTACTCAGGTGCCGCTTATAGACGAAGAACAAGACTTAAATACAATGCTCACCGTGGACTGTGATCGAGACGATGTACTCAAGGCTCTTAGCACCTTAGGCACGGAAAGGTCAGCAAGACTGGATGAATCACACCCTAAAATCCTGAGACAAATTGCACAACATATTGCAGCCCCACTAACTGTGATACTCAATATGCCACTTGACCAAGGTGTGTTACCTACGAACTGAAAGGATCCAATCGTCACTCTCATACATAAAACAGGATCAAGACAACTTCCATCAAATTACAAACCTGTCAGCCTCAGCAGTGT